TTTTGGATGAGTTTGTGTTATGCCTTGTCATTACATTTACAATCACAGTTCTTTTGTAATATAATAATAATCCTTGCATTTGATACAGCACCTTATCATACCATTGAGACTTCTCAAAAAAAACATCTTGTTCGTTGCGGTGTGCGTTATATTTTTTTTAACCAGAATTTTCTAAATGTGAACATCACCAATGTTTGATGAGATGCACGTTGAGTGTAAGGAATTGCTGGAACCAGTATTGTTGAGTAATAATATAATACTCCCCAAGGAAATCTATCCTTTGCAAAGTGGAAGTGCGGTACTTTTATAGTCCTCTCATTTCTTCCTACCCTCCACACACCTCTCTTAGAGATGACCATCGGTTTTCCTGGTGAAGTGCCAGCCTAATGGAAACATGAGGGTGCTGGCTGTGAGAAGACCACCCAGCACCTGTGAGTCTGTTCTCGGGGCCTGTTCTGGTCCTGGACGCCTGTTTCTGGATGCTGATCAGGGCACTGAAGAGCTGCTCAGATGCTCACTATTGGCTTGAAATGTAGGGTAGGCACAAAATAAATACAACAACAGCAAACAAAATAAGAGGTTTGCACCTGAGCTACGAGTTAAGGTCAGAGAGGAGTAGAGGGCAAGGGGGTGTGGAGGAGGGAAGATCATAGAATTATACAGCACAGAAGGAGGCCATTCGACCGATCATGTCTGTGCTGGCTCTTTGAAAAGAGCTATCCAAATTAATCCCACTTCCCCGCACTCTCACCATAGCCCTGCAAACTTGTCCTCCCCAAATAATTACTCTTGTTGTTATCGAATCGGAATCCACCAGCCTTTCAGGCAATGCATTCCAGATCAGAACAACTCGCTGTGTGAAAAAATTTCTCCTCACCACCCCTCTGTTTCTTTTAACAACTATTTTAAATTGGTGTCGTCAGGTTACTGGCCCATCCGCCAGTGGAAATAGTTTCTCCTTGTTCACCCTATTGAATCCCCTCATAATTTTGAAAACTTTTATTAAGTCTCCTCTTAACCTTCTCTGTCTGTGTCAAGGAGAATAATCCTAACTTCTCTCGCCTCTCCTGATAACTGAGGTCCCTCAATCCTGGTACCATCCTGGTCTATCTCCTTTGCACCCTCTCCAACGCCTTGACATCCTTCCTGAAGTGTGGTGCCCAGAACTGAACGCAGTCTCTCGCTGAGGTCTAACCAGTGTTTTATAAAGGTTTATCATAACTTCCTGACTTCTATATTCTATGCCCTTATTTATAAAGCCCAGTATCCCGTATGCTTTTTTAACAACGATGATCAAAGGCGTAGTCAAACAGGAAGGTCTTGAGCAGGCAAGGGAGGGAGCGAGGCGGATGGAATTCCAGAATATGGGAACAGAACAGCTGAAGGCCGGACCGCTGATAGTGGAGCAGGCAGGGAGGTGGATATGGAACCGGGTAGAGGGAACAGACAGGTTGGTATAAATTTACATTTATACACTGCCTTTCATGTCAGGAAGATGACCCGAGATACTTGACAAGCTGTGGGTGGGAGCCGAGGTGGGGCAGGGAGGCAAAAATGTGTGTTGCCTATGCTTAGTGCAGCTATTTCTACACTTAGGTAATTGGAAACACCTGCTATATTTATTTGGAATGCAACATGCTGACCGTGAGCTCTGAGAGAGGAGTCCGAAAATAATAATAATAATCCTTGCATTTGATATGGCGCTTTTCATGTCTTCTAGACGTCTCAAAGTGCTTCACAGAATATGCTGTAAAGTGAATTGACTATATATTTGTGGCAGCCAATTGCTCACAGCAGTGTCCCACAAAGAGTCGTGGATTGAAAATGACCGATTATTGTTTTGTTAGGGATTATTACCCCTTTATTACCCCTTTATAGAAAAAAACCTTTACAGTGTCTGCACCAAATCACAATGTCACTGTTACATAACTTATAGTTACAGAGTAAGAATCCATGCATTTGATAGACATCCCAAAGCACTTTCCAGGATTTTGCTGTGAAGTGTAGTGACTGTATTTTATTGACAAATGCAGCAGTCAATTTGTGCACAGCAATGTCCCACGAACAGCCACAGTGAATGATTTGATCATATGGTGATTTTCATGTAAAAGAATAGCTCAAGTGCTTCACAAAAGGAGGATGATTGGAAATTAAATGTTAGTTAATCTGAACTTGGATGAGAAAAGGTTTAATAGTCGGGTCTATCAGGAAAAAGCATTCACGTTTATCCAAAATAGTCCCGGGGGAATCCTCTAAAGTCCACCTAAATCACAAGACAAATGAGATTTCGGTTTAACAGCTTATTTGATGAAAAAAAAATCATGATCTGGAATAAATATTACCAGCACTTCACATAGTGGTTTGTCACACTGAAATGTCTCAAGCATCTAAACCACTGAGTTGCTTTGAAATATAGTGAATGTTATTCAGCTCTGTAAGTGTTACGAGTATAAATAGCCATCTCAGCTCTTGGGGATTTCCTACAATGGCTAAAATCCCCTTCTTTTATTATACACCCTCCACCCCTCCAAGTAAATTAATTTCACTGCTGTTTATGTGACATTGCTGTGGGCAAAGTATATCCTGTGAAGTGCTTTGGAGCTTCCTCTTGATGCAAAAGAAACTATACCAAATGTAAGGATTGTAATCATTAAGATTATGATTCAAAAATAAACATTATGGAAGTTTAAAGTAATGTATTGCAACTATAAAAATATTGAAATTTAACGAGAATTCTAATAGAAAAAATATCAGGCATCACTTATCAGGAGTACTAATTAAAGAGTACTGTATTTCAGTGTTGTACATTAATAAAAATCCTATTAACGGGGCATCTTATATGAAGCAAATTATATTTAAAGTAATCAGTGAGTGCAGTGAAACTTTCAAGGAATCAGGTTCGATCCCCAACTATCCTCACATCTGGTCCCTGGCCAGGATCCTCTGCCTCCGCTCGACTGGCTCTAGCCTCCTCCTTGTCCCTGGACCCTCCGCCCCACCTTCGGTGGACATACTTTCAGCCACTACGCCCCGAAGCACTTGAAGACCTTCCTCTTTGCCCGTGCCTACGGTCACCTTCCCCTCCCCCTGGCTCGGCATCAGGCTCCGCCACTGTTAAGCGCTCTGAGACACCATCCGGCGTGAAGGGCGCTATATAAATGCTAATTGTTGTTGTTGTTCAAGCAACCTGTTTTCTTTTGTCTGAGTCATTTTGCTGAGTGGGAGTCTGACACCAGTGCCCCCATGTGGCGGGTTGTGGATTCCCTGAAGTGAATTTGGACAGCAGTGGAAGTCTAAATATGTTTGTAGTTTGGGCATTTTTCATTTCTCTGGTGTAATGTAACGTTGACCCACAAGCGATGAACTGTTCAGCCGCCATCGCTGGTTTGTATTCCAGTGCTTCCCTACTATCCATGTGTGGTCTTTCAATGGTGTTAGCAAACCCGTCCTCCATCTGTAAAACGGCTCGAAGATGTGATAAGGCGCTAAATCAAATTCAAGGATTACTATCCAAGTTCAAGAGTTTGCCTCAGGGCTTATTTCTGGAAAACAAGCTTCTACATTTGAATATTTGGTCCCTAAAAGTTGTAAAAGGAAGACCCTTTTACAATTTTGTGGCAGGGTGCAATAGAGAACCTATTTGACAAAAGATTTCTTGCGAGTAGGTGTGATAACTATTAGGTCTGTCAGAGTGACCAACATCAACTGTGATTTCAACACTTCCTGTCTCTTTTAGGAGATTAAGATTCACTTTTTAATGAGTCTTTCTCCAAGTTTCCAGGAGGGTTGCCCATACTTGGACATATTGGAAAAGAAGATGGTGGGAGTTGAGAGAGGTTAGAAAAGAGAATACTGGCCTGGAACTGTAGCCTCAATCCAACATGCTCAAAATCCAATGTTTTAAAACATCATTGCCTTAGTAATGATATTCTTTATACCACTTTTCACCTCAAAACATCTCAGTCTTTCACAAGTAATTGCTGACAAGTGTAGTGGCCATAAGCAGCAGTTTTTTAGTATTCAGGAAAGCCCTGTAAACAGCCATGAAGTGAGTCACCAATTTTATTTGGGGGATTGTTGGCCAGAACAGGACACTGGGAGAGAGAAACTCCCTTCTCTTTTCGAACAGTGCCGTTGGACCTTTAACATCCACCTGAACAGGCAAATGAGACCTCGCTTTAATGTCTCATCCAAAGGTCGGCGCCTCCGCCAACGCAACAGACCCCCAGCACTGCACTGGAGCGTCCGTGTAGACAACGTGACTCCACGTCCCGACTTGGGGGCTTGAACCCACAACCTTCTGACTCGGAGGCGAGAAGCGTTACCACTGCACCAGTCTGTCACGTCAGATTCTGTTTCCGTACGGTGACCATGGACACTGACCAGGCTGGGCGGGGGCAGAGTGACCGCAATCTTCCCCCCCGCGCCCCCCCCTGCCCCCGCGCCCCCACCCCAGCAGAGAGCAGAGAGCCGAGGGCTGACCCCGGGGCACGGTCTCTGGTCCGGGGTTTTGCCAGAAATTAGAAGCCCAAAGAGTAGCCCAATATTACACACTGCCCCCTGGACCGAGCGGGGTGGCCAATTTAGGTGAGTGTTGTTGAAACTGTGTCAGAAACACGCCTTCAAAGGCGGGCGGGAGGGAGGGAGGGAAGGTTCGTGGGTTTAAATTTTTTTCTTTTTTTCTCCCCCCCAAAAAATGAATTACCCGCCCAAAGCAGTCGGTGGCAACACAAACCCGCCCAATTGGGCGTGAAAACCCGCCCCTAACTCCGGGCCACGCTGGCCGAGTGGGCGGGCGCGTCACGTCACGTTACGTCACGTGAGGGCGGCAACCCTATGGGGAGGAGAGAGAGAGAGAGAGGGCGAGACGGAGCGTGGGGGAGGGGGGAGGCTTGTGACGTCAGCGCGCACGAACGGGAGCGCGAGAGGGCTTGTGACGTGAGCGCGCACGAGGTGCCGGGAGGGCGGGCGGGAGAGTGAGTGACTGAGTGAGTGCGCGGCAGTCAGAGGGCGGCGGGAGGTGGGTGATGGCGGCGCTGACCCCACGTATACACACACACACACACCCACACACCCGGAGAGGGTTTTAAACGCTCCGAGACGCTGCCCCCGAGTGAAGGGCGCTGTATAACTGCTGCTGTTGTGTGGAGGGCGGTGTATACTGTAAAGTGTAGTGACTGTATTTTGACAAAAAATAATCGACAGTTGTGGGTCGAACTCGTATCGTCCACACGATGTGTCACACTCCCCCTCCCCCCCCCACCCCTCCCTTCCCTTCCCCCCCTCACCCCCTCCCTTCCCCCCCCCACCCTCCCTTCTCCCTCCCCCCCTCCCTCTCCCCCCCCACCCCTCCCTTCCCTTCCCCCCCCACCCCCCCTTCACCCCCTCCCTCTCCTCCCCCCACCCTTCCCTTCCCCCCCTCATCCCCTCCCTCCCCCCCCTCCCTTCCCCCCCTCACCCCCTCCCTCTCCCCCCCCCCTCCCCTCCCACTCCCCCATTTTTTCCGGACTGCCCGCTCCCCCCCCTTCCATGTACCAGTAAATGCTGCATTTCAAAAATATTGCTTTTGAGGCCCAACGGATGTGCCTCAAATAGGGAATCCGGCCATCGGCAAACCCCGAAAAGGTCACCCGTGACGCTGCCAACGCTGCGCTGGGGATGTCCTGCGGATTAGACGTTAAACTGAGGTCACGTCCGCCTGATCGGGTGCTCGTTACGCAGACCTCGCGGCGCGGTTCAAAAGTGGGGGGAGTTTCTCCGCGTGTCTTGGTCAACCGTCCCTCAAATAAACAAAAGCTGTTCCTTCACTTCAAGGCTGGTTGTAGGATAGTACTGTTGCCGCGTTTGCCCCCACAAAACACACAATCGCTGCTGCACTGAAACACTGAGCCATCCTCCTGATGTGAAAGGCATTATGTCAACTGTAAGGGTGGTTATTGTGACAGTGCGTTCATACAGTAGTTTGATTTCCTTGTGCTTTTTTTTGTTGCGTACCTAACTACAAGTGAGAATGGGACCTTGTATAGTTTCAGCATTTTGCACTGCATAGTTTGTGTAGGGTTGAAATGAAATATTGCTTATTGTGTAACTGTTCTCAGTTTATTTCGTTGGGGTCTGTCCTTCAGCTGTCATGACAGACCCATTTGCAGCATCTGCTGACCCTGGAGACTTGGGTGGGCTACGTTGTGACCTGAGTTTCATGGAAACTATCAGCCAGAAGATGAGAATTCCCAATAGACTGAAGGTGACCGAGGAATTAGGGGATGAAGAAAGAGCAGAGGATATTCAGATGGCATCGCTGCATATGTGCATCCCTGACAGAATATCCATGGCAGGTAAATTGCGTTCATCACTCAACAGAACAAAGGATTACATAGAATAAATATACAGCACAGAAACAGGCCGTTCAGCCCAACTGGTCTATGGCGGTGTTTATGCTCCACATGAGTCTCCTCCTGCCCTTCCTCAACTAAACCTATCAGCATAATCTACTATTCCTTTCTCCCTCATGTGCTGATCTAGCTTTCCCTTAAATGCATCTATGCTATTCACCTCAACTCCTCCTTGTGGCAACAAGTTCCACATTCCCACCACTCTCTGAGTAAAGAAGTTTCTTCTGACTTCCCTATTTGATTTATTGGTGACTATTTTATATTTATGGCCATTGCTTTTGGTCTTCCCCACAAGTGGAAACATCTTCTCAATGTCTACCCTATCAGAACCTTTCATAATTTTAACATTTTTCTGTTCTTGCCGGCCGGTCTGCACCAGGTCATATACGAACAAACCATATTTTCTGGAAGAGGTGACTTTGACATTGAATGCACAATGTGAGGGATTCCTGTTTTTCACTAGAAATGGCAGGAGAAATTGAGAATAGAAGGGTGAGGTGGGGGGAGACCTGTACATCTGTAATATCAGTCAAAGGTATATAAATATATTTACAGTATATTCTTTGAAGCGCTTTAAGATTTCTCAATGATGTGATAAAGCGCAATATTCATTGTAAAGATTATTGTTATTACTCTTCAGAGCAATCTTATGTTAAAGATTTCCTAGCTAATAATTCTGTATCGCTAAAACACGAGAAACTACCATAAGACTCCAGTATTTTCTTGGCTCGTTCTATCCTATAGTATTTGGGAAATAATGATATGTAAACTCTTAAATGGAGTTGGTTGTTTCGTGGAGATTTTACATTGAAAACTAGTGATAAATACACCAGCCCCAGTACAATTACAGGATCTCGTCATTAAGTTCAAAGTTGTCCCACTTCTCTGTTCAGAAGCAGATATGCAAGACATTGGCGCGAGGCCTTACTTGTATGGTTGGTTCCAACATACGCCATCAATGTCAGATCCCCCACCACTCAGCATCTCTCCCTGCATGATGTTCGGGAACCCACAGCCATTGAAAGTGGACAGCCTAGAGAGTCGGCTGCAAAGACGAGAGGTACTTTACTGAGATGTCATGTGTCGTGTCCTTAAAATAAAGGATTTGTATTGTTGATATGGACCAGAAGCTGTTGTACATTGTTTATTGTTAATGTGGCGTCAGGTCTCAAGGCTGACAAACCCTTGAACTTAGTTCTAAAAGTGCTCAGTAGAACTGTGGGTGTGTAACTGGTATTCTCTGACGCATTAGCTCACCATAACAGGCATATTTTCTTACTCCATACATCACTTTTTATCTAGTAGTAAGAAGGAAACTGGTCGTAGTCGATTAGCGGAACCCTTTCTGGGGGTAATAATCCCTTTATTTAAAAAAAATACAGTCAATTCACTTTACAGTGAAGCCCTTTGAGACTACATGATAAAGCGCTATATCAAATGCAAGGATTAATTTGTTTTTCTTTTTACAAACTGCCATAAACAGATGTCTTCACAGAGCAAGACAGAAGTACCATGTTGGCTTTAGCAGTTTCCTGGCTGGGTAACTAGATTTAGAATGGGAGGTAGTTTGTCTAGCCTTTCCAGCATCTCATAAAATTATCTCTTAACTGCATTACTGTTTTGGGGAAATTAAATGCAAGAGTTATTATTATAATAATCCATAGACAAAACTACTCTCCTTTAAGTGTAGGTGGAAGTAATCAACAAGGAGTAGAAAGTGCAGAGAAATCTTTAGGGATTCACACTCTCAATTACAGCCAGCCAGCCTTTTTTTTAAAAAGAGAAACTTGCTCTGTGATTAAGATTGCTCAAGCTAATTCTTGTAGATACGTACAGCAGGACCTGGAAGGGCAGATCAGTCACTGGGGCAGGAAGTCCTTCCACCCAACTCCTGTTAACCCTGCAAGCCAAAGCCCTAATGGGTCGGGTGGTCCTGGACAAGCAGTGAGAAAGCTTGCCAGACAGCAATATCAATGGCAAGCTATGCGGTTTTAGCTGGTTAGACTCCAGGAGTTACCCCAACACAAACTCTCGGGTTCCCAAGGCTAATGTCCCTAATACTTTTCGGAATTAGGTAAGCAGGGAGAGAGGGTTCATTCCATTCCAACAATCTATTTCTGGGATTTCTATGTGTAGGTGGGATACATGGAAGTTTCAACTTGGTTTGGATACTCTTAAGCACGGTGATGGGTTTCTGCACGTGTCAGATAACTAGCTCAACAAAAGAAATTATAGACAAGTACTTGGGTGAAATCTGCTTTCCTGTAACAAGTAGCGTAACTTATCCTGTGCTGTGTGTTGTTTTGGTACAGCTGGCCAGTTCCCAAAATTCTAACAGTTCAAGAACATTGAATGAGAGTGAAATCTGTCTATCAGCTGCGTCCAGAAAACAGAGGAATGCGTAAGTAAGAAATCTTGCCCTGGCTTATTTAACACACCTTGATATCACTCTTTATAACCTTTTCTGCACAGCTACGATAATGATGTTACGTGCCTGCGAATTGGAGTTTACTGTCTGTAGTTTTTCAGTGAGTTAAGAGTGCTTTAATTCTCATTGATGTGTATGAGCACAGAATGGCTCTTTGAGCCGCTAGCGAGTCAACTCAGATTCCTGGTTAATGTGTTCTCAATATCCTGTATCAAAGGTCGACAATCAACCTTCAAACTTTGTCATCTGTTGGCTGAAAAAGCCTTCGCAGTCCATTTTCAACCAGAGTCGGCAGTAAATTTAAAATAACAGTTTACGTGAGAGGGAATGGAGAGCCAGAAGCAAAATGTTGATGATTTGGGGTAGGAGACTGGATCTGCTTCTACTTTTGAGAAAGACATACACCCCAGAAAGTGCTATGTTTGAGAGAAAGGCTTCAGGTCAAGAAAATATTTGCTATGTGGAATGGGAGGTGAAAGATGAGGTAACCTGGTGGTGCATCATTCATTTGTGTGTGTTGGAAAGGAAAGATTAATAATAATAATAATAATAATCCTTGAATTTGATATAGCGCTTTTCATGTCGGGAGGACGTCCCAAAGCGCTTCACAGATCACACTGTAAAGTGAATTGACTGTATATTTGTGGGCGAACGCGGCAGCCAATTAAGAGAGAGGTTTCACTGACTGTCTTAGCGATTGAAAAGCATTCATTGAATTCAAACCAGTAGGTGAGCAGATGATTCAGCAAGAACAGTCTTGTTTATGAATTCTTTGATCCAGTTCAAACCCCTCATTTTACGGTAGCAAAACCAGATGATATAAAATTCTGCGGCATTTTATCACACGTTCCTTCAACAGAGATGCCACTCTAAACCTGGGAAATATGGACTCTGTTCCTGTTCTCTCATTTTAGAAAATTTCCTTTGACCATTGTTTTACTTTTATCCAATCCACAGGGGTGATCACTCCAATGGCGTAAGGCTTCCCTTCCCATCACCTGGACCGGGCCAGGCATTATTCTCGCTTCACAATGTGTTCAGTGTATTAAAATATATTGGGCACAGCCTATCGGAGCGCTTTACGGAAACAGTCCATCAGGAAACGCAGAGAAGGTGACCAGAATTGCCTTGGGCGACTCTTTAAAAGCCTCTTGTTGAAGTGGCTGTCCTACTCTTTAACCTTTGCATGAGATGTGTCGTTTTGATGGAGCTTTTGGATCTGAATAGCCCTTGAGCTGCTGCTTTGGGATCTGGCTACATGCTTTATCGCAGGTACTTATTTGTGATCTTCCATGTGAAACGCCTCCAATTAGAGTGTCTGCTTCACCCGGCCACTAGTTTCATGTTCAGAAAAACAAACCAGATAAAGTAAAATTGTTTTGTTGGATGCTGATTCCACAATAAGCTATCCCTTTTTAAAGCAGTGGGAGGCGGGGGAATGAGGTTTGTGCACATCAGGTGAGGGTTGTTCTAATTTGCTTCAGAAAATTGGATACTTTTCCCATTTGTACTTTGTCACTTTTGCTCATAGGTCATGGGGTTTAGCTGGATAGTAAATCTCTCCCCCAACCTTAGATGGCCACACAGGTATGATCTTTTCATTTCCCACACCTTGTGATCTGAATGAATGATGCTGATAAGTCAGGCAGTTTTGTGCTGTTGACCTACCATATAAGGTTGAGACTACTGGTATCAAATTTCCTTAGGACCTATACAGTAGACGAGAAAGATGGTATATTTTCATCCCGACAGTCTTGGCTGACCTCAAATCCAGATACCCTAATCACATAGTCCCTCATATTCATATTTTGTCTTGTATCTAAGAATAAAACAACAACAAAATTACATTTATATAGCGTCTTTCACGTTGGGAGGACTTCCCAAGGAGCTGGACAATCAGTGTTTCGGACCTGAGCTGGGGGTCGGGATCGGGGCTGTTTATGCTTGGACATCAAGACAGAGAGTTGTTGGGAATGGGTTATTGCCAAGGCCAGATTAAGATTCAATACAGTACAAAACATCCTCATCCAGTAGCATTGATTACTGTTTATGCCTCAATTCTTTCAGTATAATGTGAGGTTTGGTTCAGGCCTTAGCATTAGCTGGAGCTGAATTAATCAAAGCTGCACCACACTATCTGTACCTGAAACTATGACATGAGCTCTACAGGGTTCTTCTTTTCATGAACAGAATGAAGGTTCTAACTGCATATTTTACTGAAGACGTGCATGAAAACAGTAATATCTTCCTTGATGGAGTGTGTCTGCCGTACAGAATTCACAGACAAATGTTTACTGGAGGAAAATGAGATTTAAGCTCTAACAATATAGGTAGTTGATTATCCTATATTGATTATCCTATGGAGTCCTGTAGCTCAGTAGTTAGAGCACTTGCCTCGCAAGCGAGAGACCTGGATTTGATTCCTGGCAGGGCAAAACCTTGGGCAAGTTTCCTTACTGCACACGCCTGATAATAATCCCTCAAGAAAAAAACAATAATAAATTGGTCACTTTAATCCACGACTGTTTGTGGGACACTGTTGGGCGCAATTGGCTGCCGTATTTCGCCCACAAATATCAGACAATTCACTTTACAATATATTCTGTGAAGCGCTTTGAGATGTCGAGAAGACATGAAAACTGCTATATCAAATGCAAGAATTATTATATTATTATTCTGAAGTAGAATCAGGGTAAAGAAATTCAAGCATTGAATAGTGTGCTGTTGCTACTTGCTCTGTTAACTATAAATAATTCTTCTTCACATTAATAGTCCCAGAATTGCTGAATAATTCAAGAGAGAGATTCTCGTTTAAACCACTAGGTGTTATTTGTGATGTTTTTCTGGTACCTTAGAACCATTTAGTATCTAGTCACTTATAGAAAGCAAGGGGAATGACTGACTGAATTACAATGTGAGGTCGGTCACTTTCACTGGGGAAGGGTTTAGTATGCTAAGGATAAATTTCCAGTCGGGGCAGGAAATATTGATTCCTCTGGTTTTTTTTGTTGTAAAGTGATTTTTGAGTAAAGTTATGATGATGGTGACCATGAGAAACAACTTGCATTTTTATAGCGACTTTCACGTGAAATAAACCTCTCCAAACGCTTTACATAATTAAATTTATTAGAGGTGAAATTAATGTTACAGAGGCAAATCTGGCAGCTGAGCTGTGCCAGGAAGATCCAGCACAGAACACTGATGAGCAGCCAATTAAATTGAATTTTTGGGGTGATTTTGGATGAGGAGTGAATAGAAGCTAGGATAACAGCAGTTTTTTGAAATAGTGGCGTTAGGTCCCTCCTTGTTCCCCTGAATCTCAAGGTAATTGCTCACTCAGTCAAAGTAAGGATGATGTGTAAATAGATAATGATCATGTATTTCTATTGAATATTGTGTTCACCAACAGCTATGTGATCAAGACAGATAAGGGTGTAAGCTGAGTGTACATGGTTGGGAAACGGATGTAAAGAAAAGCAGAATCCACTGGAGCAAGTTAAAATAGAAGCATGTCTTGTGTCCTTATTCACTGCTATTGCCAGCATGATATCTGTTCAGCTGTAGACTTTAGGGGCTGTGCAAAAGTCAAACACTCTTTGTCATTAATATCTTTGTTTCTGAAAATTCTTAACTTTGTGATGTTTAACTTTGTGGTGCATGCAATGAATTGACTGTGAATGTATTGCTTTAGGGTGGAGTTTCTTTTTCAACAATCCATAACAATCTGTTTGTATATCAGGTAACGAATGTTAAAACATTCTTGAAAGAACCCAAAAAGATTTGCCTCAACAAACTGGTTTAATTTCCCACCAGCTGCCCCGGTTTGATTGCTGATCTCAACTGCACAACTATAGTGTGCTGAGTGCAGGCCAGGTGCCTTCCCCGCAGGTAGAGAATATTGGAGACAGAGGCCGTCTTGTCAAAACCCAGATTTGTATTGAGTCACACTTGTGGCTCATGAACAACAGTGGGAGCCATACCAGTCAAAAAATGTTACAACAGAGACGCATGCATGAGTCTCCAATTACCTACGACATGAATCAGAAAGACAAAAGCAGCAACAGCAGTCATAGTGGAATCTCTACAACAAAGACGTTGCTCGCGTACATCGAAAACACTGGGCTTTTTCGAATATTCCGCGCTCAGTTCAAACTTGCAGCAATTAACCAATAATTTGTTCATTTTCAATGTAACTTTGTGAGCTAAGCCATTGACGCTGGTCAGTTACCTGTGCAAGCTGCCAGTATTTAACGGACGCATTTACATACGAAGAGAGTAAAGACATCATATGGTCAAGTTTAAAAAGTTATTCATTTAAATACCTGGAAAACAGTTCCTGGGTATTGTATGTTTAATAAGCAAATCCACGGCATTATATTGTCGTTCAAAAAAAAAAGCATCAATTGAGTGTACTCGTTTTGTTCTATGATTCAGATTATTTTAGATGACTATTTCAATTGAGTATTCAAAAAGCCTGACTGCATACATACAAGCATGTTTAAATAGCCCTGCACACCTTGCTGTAAGCAAATTATCAGCAGGATTTCTCTGAAACATGCTTTCTGCTCAAGCTGAGGTGGCTCCATGAGCCACATGGGACTCTAATGTTTGACAGTGCTGCTCTAGGTCACCTCTACATACCTTTATTGGTCAGCTGCAAACATTGGCAAAGACGTGTAAATAGGTCATCACTGAGCTGGGCTCAGTAAAACAGGGCAGGCAAATGTCAGCCTGGCTGTACAGTAGCACTTGCGCCTCTTAGTCAGGAGGTTGTGGGTTCAAGCCTTTGGTCAGGACTTGAAATCACATAGGCTAAGATGACACTCCAATGCAACCCTGGGGGTGTGTTGGATTGTCGGAGGTGTCGTCCTTCCGATGAGACATTAAGGTCCCGGGTGGGTGTTAAAACTGATGGTTGTATTGGGGAACGTGGGTATCTGAAGGATGGATGAGCTTCAGTGGGTCAAAGAGCCATTTCTCATCCCTGACTTTTCTTATGTTTTTATTAAGGATTCAACCTCGTGACCGACCCCGTTCTCATAATCCATGTGTGGATGTGGCCAGTCGTACAAAGAGTCAAAGGTGATCAGCATGTTTTCTTCTTTTAATACACTGATTGGTACAAGTACTTGTAATATTAAAATGCTATAGGAGGCTTGCTTCCATAAGTATATTCAGTGAACAGCTGAGCCACACAGACCAGAAGGTTCCCAGGTTCCATTCCTAGTCTTTGCTGAGTTGAATGATCTCTGTCTAACTGGAATTAGAAATTCTGCAGTTGGTCCAGAATAAATCAAGAGTGAGCCTGGCACTCTTACCTCTTCAGTCCGAAGGTTGTGGTTCAAACCCCACATCAAATCATTGTACTCAGATCATCCAAGCTGACACTCGAATGACACTTGGGATGTATTTTTGGAGGTGCCGGCCTTCGGAAGAGGCGTTAAACTGAGATCCCATCTATTTGTTTAGGGGAAGCTATCAAGATCCCATGGCGCTATTCAAAAAGAGAAGGGAGTTTCTCCCAGCGTCCTGACTTACAATCCCCCGAATAAAAATTGGTGACTCACTTCATGACTGTTTGTGGGGCATTGCTCTGTGCAAATTGACTGCCACATTGGCCTACAAAATACAGTCCCTATACTTTACAGTATATCCTGTGAAGTGCTTTGAGACGTCCTCCCAATGTCCGAGGTGCTGTATCAACTAAAATAATAGATTATTTTATTTTTGTAACCCTAGTAATAAAAAATAATCCTTGCATTTGATGTTTCAAAGCGCTTCACAGAATATACTGTAAAGTGAATTGACTGAATATTTTGTGGACGGTAGTAAAAGGGGCAGAGAAGCAGTTGGATCCCTTGAAGAGGAGATGGCCACAAATAGACCGTGATAAAATTATTAAAAAGCACCGCACCATTAGTCCTTTCAATGGGAAAGGCGTTATGTAAATTTGTATTGAATTGTCAATATTAGAGGAACAGGAAATGGCAGTCACATCATATCAATTCTGCGCGTGTGTTTTTACAAATGAAAATTTTTGGAAAATGTTGAATTCAGCCATTTTGCCCCAAGAATTCAGGTATGTTCAGGTGAATAAAATGTTTTGAACAAAAATGTAGCTAATTAATACAGGGTCCCTGTGGAGTCTTCAAGGCAATGAGAGAAGCACTGGAACATAGGAACAGGAGTCTGCCATTCAGCCTCTAGTGCCTGTTCCGCCATTCTATTAGTTCATGGCTGATATATACCTCACTGGGTGATATTACACTTCCCAATAGCTGCACTTTAGCACTGAAGGAAAGCAAACATTGCCTTGATATTGAAAAGCATGAAAGAGAACCAATATTTGCTTAACGCTGGTAGTGAGGAGAATTCTGAAGAGCACTTTAGGAGGTGCTAGCAATGCTAATCTGAAGAATGCAGGCGGTGTAGGGAACAGTCAGTGTGGTTTTCATAGCAACAATCACACACCTAACAAACCCAGAAGGTTCGAGAAGTTAACAAGGTTGGTGAATAATGGAATAAATCTGTTTTGCTGTCCAGAAGGCTTTGGGACCGTGTGGTTAATAGTGAAGATTAAGGTTCATGCAATTAATGACATAAATGCTGTAATTCAATCGAGAACTGGTTTAGTGAAAAACTCTGAACTTGTAAGTGTCTAACCTGACGGTTAACCTGCTTTTTGTGTGTCTGTTCACTTTTATTTAAAAATCACTCTCTCGAAATCCCTAAAATACACAGAGCCTGTATGTCTAGGGAAACTGGATCAGGCAGCCTAAATAATGTTGAAAAGGGGCGTTCACATTCTTAGCCACTATCCCACAGGTATGAACAAAACCTCTGGTAATGCATTAATCCATTGCGTTACTGCAGAAAAGATTAGTAATGTGTATAACAATTATAGTTTGTGCTGTTTGCCAGTTTCTCCCCTCCCCCCCCAACACACTACCCACCCGCAACCACGTGGGCGCAGTAATGTTCGTGGGCTGAAATTCCTTCATCGTTTGCTTATAAATTGTCTGTCAAAATTAAGGGTTGCTGGCTGCTTTATATACTTGTTGTGCCTATTTGACAAAGTGGCTGTACAAAATGTACATGTAAATTTTTTTTGAACATCTATCTTATACTAATAAAACAATGTCTGTCTGCACTTCAAGATGTATCTCAATAACCGATTGATGTCGAGACATGATTTATACCTCATCAGAAACAGAGGACCTACATATGAATGCAGACACTGCAGTTACACCTAATGGCCGTGCCGGCTGACCGTGGCGCTGTGATCATGGCTTTAAACATTTTTCTGTGACTATTTATAGAAGATAGCTGTTTAATGGGGGAGATTTAAACTGATTCTACTCTTTAATCTGTACAGTACCAGTCTCATATAGTTGTAATTCTCTCTGATGTAAGGTCCTTGAACATCTTCAAGGCTGAGACTGATAGATTTTTTAAAAAACAGAGGGATTCGGGGATATGGGGACAGGGCAGGTAATTAGAGTTAGGTCAGAAGATCAGCCATGATCTTATCGAATGGCGGGGCAGGCTCGAGGGGCCGAATGGCCTACTCCTGCTCCTAATTCTTATGTTTTTATGACTGTCTCTGCCTTTCATTACTGAAGGTGATGTTCCCGTCATGTCTAATTCTCAGATTATTCGGATAAAGTGGAAGAAAGAGAGCAAGTGTTATGTTATTCTATAACGGCTAATTCTCTGGAGGAAAAAAAATAGAAGGGTGAAGTTCTGAATCATTTTTGCTTGCATATGACCTCTTCCACACACACTGTATGTGTATGTCCCAGAGCCCCTCCGCATTGTTCCTTCCCTTGTCGCCTTCAAGGCATGTCTCAAGACCTTCCTCTTTGACCATGCCTTCAGTCATGTTCCCACCAGCAGCCTTGCCCTCCACTCCTCCCGACTCCAACCGTCAGCTCGGGTGCAATTAAAGGGTCAAATTGACTCACTTTCACTTTATGCAGCCAGTGTTATGGAATGAATTGATTTGTTCACAATTTGTCTCTACTTTCCAGCATTTCCCATGACTACGGAGTACCTGAGGGAGTTCTCGAAAATTTCAGTGTGATGGAGATTGTAACACTCCGGCGACAGGTAAAGATGTGATTAGTGGAGTCCTGTAATGTATTGGTTAGGGCACTAGCCTTGCAAGCTGGAGGACCCGGGTTTAATCTTGGGGAGGGCGAAACCCTTTGGCAAGTTTCCTTTCTCCACACGCATTGTGGGATACTGCTGCTGCATTTCGTCTCAACGACGTGATAAGGCGCTATATCAAATGCAAAGATTATTATTCAGCGCCTTGCGACGTCCCCCTTACGTGAAATGCGCTATACAGATGTCAATTGGTGGTGGTGGTGCTAGTGGTAGTTGAAAACATGAATTTGCTGAGTGCAATGGTTAGGCTGCTGCAGGTGAAAGTTCAAAGTCAGGTTCCCGCACGTTGGGAGAGCAGTGTGGGATGTTTCAGGAAAATGCGGAAGTGCTGGTCATAAACCTCTTGCTCTTAACCTTGCATTAAAAGCTCAGAGCAGATGAATGTTTTGTATCTTGTTTACTACTTAAAAGAAAATTGGTGATTAAGTGCTGTTAAGCTAGTTTCGATCTGAGCAGCTTGAGCGCACAAAGGGTCCACCCTTTCTCTGTCTCTCTCTCCTCTCGCAGCTGAACAAGTTGAATCGGCGCTTACAGTTGTTGGAACAAGAGAGTCGGGACCGTGCGCGCAAAGAACTCATCCTCTACTCCATCATCGTTACAGCCTGTTTTGTCAACAGTTGGCTCTGGCTGCGGAAGTGAAACTGCACAAAGCATTGGAAACACTGGTGTAGACTGAGCGACCCACTCGTGTTGAATGTAGCACTAAAAAGCATCCTTGTTTCTGGTGTGCAGTGATCTGTCTCGTTGCTGAAATACAAGCCTACACCGTCGTTTCAGATCCGTTTATTAAGATGATTTTAACAGCAGAGTGATGTGGGCAGAGAAGCTGTATCGCAAATGTTAGCGTGTGTTTTCAGATGAAGCAAAATGAATGGATTCAATGTGAAAATGAGCACTTTTTTCTTTAACTCGCAATAGCATCGTAAATCCTGAAAGGCTGCTATTCCAACTTTAATAACATTTCGTGCACTAACCACAGCATACTTGAGTGTTTGGTGTGGAGTTTGAGGTTTATAAATCAATATGACTTTAGTTGTTAGTAAGGGTTCTCATTAATTTATAGAGTGAGCAGGTAGGAGAGGGGAGAATTAAAAAGTCACAGTGACACAACTTAAGTTCAAAAATATTGGCAACCTAGTTTACTATTTTCACTAAGTGCCTCTTGAGTATTCCCTCCGATATTCGCATGCTAAAGTACTGGGTCAGGTTCAAAATCTGTGAGGGTTGTATATGTATATAGTCTAGTCTAACGTTGTTTGTGATTACAAGCTGCTCAGCCATTCGGTTAAAGTGGGTTTAGATTTTGCCCTTTGAGAATTTGTACAATTGGATATTGTGCGAGAGCCACATTTGATTATTGCGTAGCAGTGAGCTGTATCTAGTCTCTCAGGCTAGCCATTAACAAGTGGTACGTCAGAGATGGGACAGATACTGATCAGACTAGAGAGATGATCAAAACGAGTTCAGCACAGTGACAGGAGTGCTTCGGGTTCTGCATGGTGGATGATGGATTCAGCCCCAGTGAAGGTAAGTGTAGCGTGATCAAAGCAACAATCAGAATGGGTGTGTGTGCCTGCCATCGATACAAGCCACCTGCTGAATTCAAACCAATAGAATCAAAAATTTCCCCGTCCAACTCAGTGGCAGAGTGAGCACTTGTCTTGGAGGAGAGGAAGCTGCCTCCTGAGATTAAACACGATGACCTTCTCAGCTCAGTTCTGACTGATGCAAGCTTAGGTTGAAACTTTTAACTGGACGTTGTGTGTGTTTTCTCTCTATTCCAATCCCTGAAACTCTGAAACACTCTTCCTCTATCCCTCTGCCTTTCCCCTTCCTTCCTATTCGTCCGTGTCTGCAGTCGCCTCCCTTCCCCCCCCGGCTCGGTATCAAACGCTTTGGGACTGCCCTGTGTTGGAGGCGCTATCCAGTCAATTCACTTCACAGCCTATTCTGTGAAGCGCTTTGAGATGTCTAGAAGACGTGAAAAGTGCTGTATCAAATGCAAGGATTATTATTATTAAACCTAACTTATATGTAAATAATCTTTAAACCATTCATATATCGAAACATGCTATTAAATTATGATTAAAACAGATAATTTACTAAAACCATCTCTTGTACAGCTGTATTTTCCCATTATACATGTACGAAGCAGTTTATTACTGCAAAGTAAGCACTGGGTAACTTGATTCTGCTATTAAAATGGGCATTTCCGTGCTATACTCGTATATATTGCTATATTTACTGTGTAATACTGGTTCGATATGTTAAAGAAATAGAAATTCCAGAAAGACTTGTTCTGTTAGTGGTACAGTGTGAGAATGAAACTCAATTGCAATTTTAAGTCATTGACACAGAAGAATGACAACAGTTCTTGAAAGGATATAAATATTCTTACCTCCCAATTTGTATGTTAATGTGCACCCTGCTTTTGTATTTGCTGTTATCTTAACCTCATCGTCCATATCTACAATCCAGTATTCAGAATATTCTTGCCATGTATGGATACAAGTCCACACGGGCAAAATCTCCGTCTCTGGAATCCAACCTGGTCCTTAGTCAGATTTATGTACAATGACTATATTAACCTAAGTGCTCTGGGACGCTACCCTGCATGAGGGGCCCTATATAAATGCAGATTGTTGTAAAATGTGAAAGTTGTGTTCGTAGCTATATGGAAGGAATTCAGTGGTTGAATGTCTGTATGTATTCCTTGGGCCAGGATGACCTGAACACTGTTAGGTGAGTTACTGAAGGATTAGTATCAGGCTAAGCATTATTCATTTGTGTACTTATCCTGATGCAGCTTATTCAATTATATTCTCCAACTCATTATTTGAAAAAAAAACCTGTTGGGAGTTATTTACTCTGAGCACTTCACCTAAGTCACTTTGAAACGGGCTTCTCAGAAGTGCAATGCATGTCTTAGGATGAGGAGCCTTTATTTGGGGAGTCACTCCACAGTATATTCTATGAAGCACTTTGAGATGTCTCAACAACGTGATAAAATGCCTTAACAAATGCAAGTATTATAATCATCATCCTGATTTAGATTTATTTTGTAATTAAAAAGTTGTCTAAAGAACTAAACGACCATCTGCAGTGGTTCTGAATCACCGGCCCAAGTTTTCAACCCTGGTCTGTGCTGAGTTATTTGCACCTGGTGATGGGATTGCTATTAACCCAGCTCAACACCGTGGGATAATCTGGGCTTTGACCTTGATGGCTGGCTACTGACTGACCCGAGTTGTGCACAAAAAATGGGTCAGGCCTGACTTGAAGCCTTTTAGGGTAGGTTACTTCACACGATTTATTTAATAGCATTCTCCCGCTTACTCCCCAGACCTTTTCAGAATTCTCTATCAATAATAATAATACTTGCGTTTGTTATAGAGCCTTATCACGTCCATGAGACGTCTCAAAGCAGGATACACTGTAAAGTGGAGTGACTATCCGTAGATAAAATTTCAAATATTGCAAGTGTGAAGTTCAACAGCTATTGAACAAATTGAGACAAGTTCATTTAAAAGCAGATGGAGGTTGGAACAGATGACAACACATTGAAATGCTTTATTAAATCCATATATTCGCTAACAAATTATCTAAAATGGGTAGAAAACTATGCCATCCTCATCCTTCTCCCACTACATGTACACATATAAACTTCAAGGTTCAACAAGGTGCTATTTATTCAAAATGTATATACACTGGTGAGTAATACTAAAGAGATTTCAGTTAGCAGAATAGCACAGATTGAAATTGAATGTAAAATCCAGTGTAAGAATATCTAAAATGTACAGGACGGCGCAACTTAGAAGCTGGATTTTCTCTTCCCAATGTTCTGTCACACAGAGCCTTTGCTTTGCATAGAATCAGTGATTTTACACAGGTTAGACAATGCCGAAGTGAAATAAATGATGATAGATGGGGTATTTGCTGAATTAAATTGGGAGGAGAGAGTAAATGTCTCCTGTTTCTTTGGTTTAGGCTTCATAGTGACTGAAAAAAACAATATCTTGAGATATACAGAAAACCCAAATGCAGTGTTTGAAGCTTGTAAGCTATTAGAGCTCTGTGTGTAGATCAGCAAAAGTAACAGGATTTTTTTTCAGAAGAACTCCCTTAATTCTGGTTCTGATGCCTTTGCCCTGGATTGTAGTTTTCTCTGCACCCTAATTCTATTTAATAATCACTGAGCCTTCAATCACCTGCCCCTACCCTCTCAAACACTCTCCCACCACCGGTGTGCTACCTCTCTCCTTGCTTTCACAATCCTAAATGCATCCGGCTGTACCTCGAGTCAACATCCCCCAAACTCCCGTTTCTCTGCTGAGTCCTCAATAGTGCCTCGTTTCTCAAGAGCTGTGTGAAAAGTGCTTTAAAACATTGTGGATCGTTACAAAACATTCAGTGTTTAGCAAAGGCCAATGAAACTTTGATAAGATAAGGGCTGCTTTGTTTGCTGGTACAGTGTAAGTGTTGCTGAGTGAGTTCACTCTGCCTTGCACGTCTGCTGGCTGTATGGTCATGTTGCGTTATCGCAGCTCTAACTAAAGACAAAGTAGAGGGACGTTTCTGACGTTTGGGAACAAATGGTGCCCTGAAGCCCAATCCCAGGCTTCTTCTACCTGATACTTTTAACCAGAGAAGGGCTTGAAAACAAAACCCTGCACCACTGGCCTTTGTTTCCCTTTCTAACATTTAATCCTACTCCTAAATCTGTTCAATCCTCATACACAGCTATTCGGACACCCACCACACAGATCACCATCTCAACACTTACTCTTTCCTACATCACTAATCACTGTACCAAACTCATACTGCAGAAAAATTTCAATTTTTTTAAAAGCTAGTTTTCTTCACTAAGTATACTACTTCCAGTATATGAACATTGAAACACTACAGTATTCAGCGAGTGTTGCAATAGTTACTGCAGCCCAGTAACTGGGCGTCTCTACATTTTTTGGGTGGGTAGCTTGATTGTGCCCTCTTTAGAGAAGGCATTGAGCATTCCTGTGGGCAGTTGATGCAATTAATTGGGCCGAGGAGGTGTGAATTACCACCTATTGCGGATTCACTGGTATGAAACGAGGAGCAAAGTTAAGGAAACGCAAAGGTATACTTTGCTCTGGAAACTGAATATAAAAAATAGGCTGACAATGTGTTAGCACTATTCTGAAAAAAGTTGCTGCAATATTTGTCTTGAAATCACATTTTTTTCACCCATTTTGCACTTGAAAAACAGGTACAAAATGTGTGTGTGTGTGGGGGGGGGGGAAGGAATAAAGAATGTTACTTGTGATTTTGTGACAAATATTGCAAAGCAGTGTTTACCCAAAGTTTTTTTTAAAAAAAGAGAAGTAACACAGATGCTTTGCTTCCAAACAATCCCTGAACTAAAGGATCGTGGGCTGAGTTTCCTCACTGCAAAGCTATTGCATGAGCCACAAAGAGACCAAACAACGGCTGGCCACAGGGTGTCATGAGTTAACCAGTTCTTGCCCATAATTTACTGGAATAAAATATTATTTTCTATATCCTTCCTCCCTGTTCCTTTCCTTCTTTCAAAATGATGAGGTTGTAATCTGCTCCAACCCTAGTTCCAAGCAGAGTGCTGGCTGGCTCCATCCCAGGGAAGGATAGTTTAGGATTGAACAAGAACATTCCCTTTCCCCTCCTCATTGAAAATAAATGATTGGTATGGCTCATAGGGCTAAGACCACCTGACCTGTAGAGTCCTTGGCACATTGCTGAGATCCACATTGTCTCCAGATCCACAGATTAGTTGCGTTCGCCCATTTTTGGACGAAGCAGCAATGTTCCTTCCACCCACGAGCCTGGGTACTGAGTCATCCTCTGCCAGATGTTGACCTCCTCTCCCACCGAGTCCATCCAGTCCACTCGCTTCCCATTGCTCATCCCTAGAAAAGAGATGCTGATGGTAAGACTAGAACCTTCTTCATCTGACTGAGTGCTTGAAAGCTTCAGACAGGGAAGGAAATGGTCTTTCCCTCATTATTTGTATAAAAGATCAGAAACCATCTCCAACATAAGATAACGTTTGAGAGCATATCTGTGTTATGACAAGGGGTTCATCTGCATCTGTACACAGCAATTGTATTCCCAGGTTTATAAGTTTAGTGCTTATCTCTGTCGAAATATACTTTGATTTGCTTTCTCAACACCTCCCCATTTTCCTTCATTAACAACTTGCATTTATAGAGTGCCTTTCATTAGGGGCAGCGTCTCGGAGCGCTTAACAGTGGAGGGGAGGAGGTGACCGTAAGCACGGTCGAAGAGGAAGATTTCAGTTATGATCTAAAAGAGGGGAAGGAGGGGGCAAGGCAGAGAGATTGGGGGAGAGAGTGCCAAAGCTTCGGGGCGTAGTGGTGGAAAACGCGGCCGCTGATGGTGAAGATGTGGGGACGAGGGACAATCTGGAGGCCAGAGCCAGCCGAGCGGAGGCAGCAGGTAAACTAAAGGACTCTGCAGATCAATGCCTTACCATTCCCAATCCCAAGGCGCACTCCCCCGAGGAAGTCGTTGCTGGACAGGGCCTCTCTGTCCCAGATGGTCAGCTCCAGGCAGATGTGCTGCAGGTCCTCGGGCTTCACCTCACTGTAAACAAAGGTGTGGTTGTAGTGAGGGTTCAGTGTCTTCTTCATCACCGGAGTTTTCCGTTTGGATGTCTTGGTTTTGAACGGCAGAAGGTACCTGAAAAACAGCTCTCAGTTAGGATTGACTTTGTTCCAGGACAATCAGAGAGAGGACTTCTGTATGTTTACACAGGACCCAACTTATTTCAGTTTTAGTTTATCGTGTTCTTTTAAGGAGCAATGAAATATCAACACATAATAATAATCCTCGCATTTGATTTGTGGGTAGCCAGTTTGGCGCAAAGAATAGGAATAAATATTGTGAAACCCGATGTTCTTTGCAACACGTCGGAATATTCTCCTGTAACTGTGCTCCCTCTTTATATATGCTCCCAGTTTAGTGTTTTCAATGCCAGATATGCAGAACAAACATACAAGCCGCATAAACCACACTTCCAGTTCTTCCACCTCCCCCGCCCCACCATTGACGGTTGGGCTTTCAGCCCTCACCCTCTGGAACTCCATCCCACAGTCAATTCGACTTGCCCCTTCCGTCGCCTCCTTCAAGGTCCGTCTCAATACGACCAACTTTCTCATGCGTTCAGTCATATTACCTCACACCCCCATCCACCTCCTGTGGCCCCCACCCCTCCCAGCTCGGGTGCAAATCCTCAACTGTCCAAAACCTTGGGACACTCTCCTGACATGAAAGGTGCTGTATAAGTGCAATTTATTGTTAGAGAGCTAGTTTCACAAACAGTGCAGTCACACCTACTTAGTATAAACCCCATCAGGTTCTCACCCATTCCCCTTTCCTTCCTCTCAGCCCTACCAAATTTAAACTGATTTTTTTTAAACTTTATTAAAGAGTGAAACTGGCTCTCTCTGATTACTTTTAAAAAAACTGCTGGATGGTGTTGTTCTGCACATATACCAAGGTGTGCGTGTGTGCGTCTGTGTAGGCAGAACATGCCCAATGGAAGGGAACTGGAGCGCACAGTATCAAATTGCCAGACTCCCGGGAGTAGAGTGGCTTCTCTATTGGTTGTACAATCACAGCATTAATCTCAGAGACACTGACACGCACACCCACGTGCGCACACACAAATTATTAACAATTACATCAAGTTGACTTAGTAGAGAAAGCAACCTCTCACCCTTTGACAAACGTGTCTGAGGTTCCGCCTACTTTCATTGGTGTCAGGTTCTTGGCCTCCTTAATCCAGACCTGCAGCTCCCCCCCCTCCTTCACTGACTGTGTGGCTTTCTTCCCTGTTAAACACACAGCGGTTATTCAATGTACAGTCCTGCACAACATTCTTTACTATAACACTTCAACTCAGTGATAGATCGTGCTCGACTACACCAGAACATTTTTTTTTGTTAGCCAAAATAATAGTAATAGTCCTTGCATTTGTTATAGCATAACAATAATAGTCCTTGCATTTGTTATAGCGCCTTATTCGTGGAGTCCTGTAGCTCAGTGGTTAGAGCACTCGCTTTGCAAGTGAGAGACATGAGTTCGATTCCAGGCAGAGGGCGAAACCTTGGGCAAGTTTCCTTACTCCACACAGAGCCTAATAATAATCCCTCCAAAAAAAAACAATAATAAATTGGTCATTTTCAATCCACGACTGTTTGTGGGACATTGCTGTGTGCAATTGGCTGCCGCGTTCGCCCACAAATATACAGTCAATTCACTTTACAGTGTGTTCTGTGAAGCGCTTTGGACGTCCTCCCGACGTGAAAAGCGCTATATCAAATGCAAGGATTATTAATATTAGGTCGTTGAGATGTCTCAAAAGTGCTTCAGAAAATATGCTGTAAAATCGATTGACTGTATATTTTGTGGGCGAAACGCGGCAGCCAATTGCACACAGCAGTGTCCAGAGCAGAAACAGTCGTGGATTGAGTGACTAATTTATTATTATATTTGATAATAGAATGAAACTAGCTCTCTCTGATAACTTAAAGCAAAATAAATACTTGCTGGTGTTCTGCACATATATGGTGTGTGGCGGGGGTGGGGGGATGTGTGCCGAACATGGCCAATTGAAGGGAACTGGAGCTCACAGTATCTCTTTGTCTAACTCCTGGGAGCAAAGAAACCCATCACCATGTTTCAGAGTATCCAAACCAGACACGGTTCAGCATATGTATGCCACCCAAGCCAGGAAATTTCCCTGTGTCTGGAATGGGATGTGCACCGTCTCCAGGAAAGGGAGAATGAGGTAAAATGTAACCTGCTTACCGAACTCTGGAAGGCATTAGGAACAGATTGGCGAGAATGTTTGTTGGGATAACTGCTGGAGCTTAATCAGCTTAAGCTACGTAGCTTGCCATTGAGATGACTGTCTGGCAAGCAACCTGCTCCTTGTCCAGACAGGACCACCCTTCCCATTTAGCTTTGGGTTTCAGGGTTAACAGGAGCCGAGTAGCAAGAACTCCTGCTCCCAGTCTATCCTTCCAAGTCCTAAGAACAAGCCAGGTCTGTCAGCAGCAGTGCCCTGGAGTACTGTGGCCCCGACTGGCTCAGGAACTGGACTATCAAGATCACACAGAGGGTGGACTCTATTCCAACATTCCTCAACCAGCAGTGATTGTTGTGCAGGGTTTGTTTTTGTGGCTATTTACCACCCGGCCTCCTTATCTCTGAGCTAAACAGGACTGGGGTGAAACATCAATCAAAGTCACCCACAGCAAGGCTGATAGATAAATGTACACAATCCGGTTTCAGGACAATCAGGCATTGCCAGAGATGTTACAATGTTAAATCCACTGGGTGAAGAGTTTCTGTGAACGTGTGAATCTGCAGGAGAGTAAACACAGTTTGTAAACTTACCCTTACTCTTGTCTGTGACTGTGGAAGGGAGTTTGGAGGGTGGAATGTACTTTACTGAGAGCACCAGCTCTCCTTTGTATGGAGGGATCCCGCTTGACTCCGAATTTGCCTGCGTCAACAAAGTAAATATGCATCAAATCAACAAAATACAGTCATCGTCAGCTTCAGTGAAAGGCTTTGAGATGTCCTATTAACATCATACCAACCTATCTGCTGCCTCCGTTCAGCGGGCTCTGGCTTGCTCCTGCCCATCCCACCATTGGCCTCTTAACACTATTGACATCTTGACCCCATGTCTCCCAGGTCCTCCACAACACCAATGTTTGAAACAACGTAAATCCTTGTAGTCGTTTCTCTACTCCTGTACTCCCAACTCTTCCCTCCACAAGCTGTAGATTATTCACAACTCTGCAGCTTGTGTCCTCTCCCAAACCAAGCTCCGTAAACTGATCACCCACTCCATTGCCCGGCTCCACTGTCTCCCCATTCCCCAGAGGATTGAGATGAAGATCCTTGTCCTCATCTTTAAAGCTCTCCATGGTCTTGCTCCTTCCAACCTTACCAACCTGTCGGCAAACTCCATTTGGCAGACACTGACCTGACGCATGTCCCCTGCCTTGCCTCCTTCACCATCGGCAGCCGGGCCTTCAGCCTTTCTGCCTGCACCCTCTGAAACTCCATCCCCAAATCCCTCCTCCTCGCCCCTTCCGTGCCTCCTTCAAGGGCGTCTCATCTCAAAACCTTCCTGTTTGACCGTGCCTTCACCCACACTCCCAACCCACCCTACCCTCCACTCCAATTGATTCCAACCCTCAGCTTGGGTGGAAACCCTTTACTGTCCAGTGCCTTGGGATATCCTCCCGACGTGAAAGGTGCTGTGTAAATGTAATTTGTTGTTGTTACTGTCTTTCATGGTATAGGAAAGGCACCCAGTGATATCCTACCTCACCATGAAGGGGAAGACATTCCTCCAACTGACTGTTGAAGTTCCAAATATCCAGTGAGAGATCCACTTCCCCCAGGAAGACATTGCGTCCAAAGCGATCGTGGTGCCACACAGAGAGCTGCAGCGTCCTCATGATCAACTGCGACTCACTGATATCATACTGGCCAGAAAAGAGAGCACACAAAACACATTCAGGTAGAGCAATGCAAATATATATATATATAAAAAAATCTCCAGAGTGATGATCGAAAAATTGATTGTGCAAAATAGCTCCCTCCACATTCTCCTCTCAAGCACTTCCAAGCATACATTAGATGCACTGTAACATGCTCTCTATACTGGCCTATGAACCAATCTTGTGGCAGGTACAGCCCATGTTTAATACAGGATTAAGTTCCTTCTATGTTCTCCCAATAATACAGAGTAAAACTCCTTCTACCTTATTCCAAGAATGCAGTTTAACATAAACTTTAGGTTTAAGTTTTTGATTCCCGGAAGGCTGGGTTCGATTCCCGGCAGGGCGAAACAGGGCGTAAGTTTCCTTACTTCACACATCTCTGTTTACCTAGCAGTGAGTCGATTGGAGGATTGCTTTTCCTGGGGTAATAATCCCTTCTCAAAAAATAAATAAATAATTTGGTCACTCAATCCACAAATGTTTGTGGGATGCTGCTGTGTGCACCCACAAAACATGCAGTCAATTCATTTTACAGTATATTCTGTGAAGCATTTTGAGATGTCTCAAAGACTTGATAAGGTGCTATATCAAATACAAGGATTATTATTATTATTATGACAGCACAGCCAATCATAATAATGAGCCTGGCTCATGGGCATGACTTGGAAGGGCAGACCAGTCACTGGGTGCAGGGAATCATTGGACTCAGCTCCTGTTAACGCTGCTATCCAAAGCCTTAATGAGTCGGGTGGAAGATTGCGCATTCCATTCCAAAAATCAATCTCTAGGATTTCCACGCGTAGATGGGATGCAGGGAAATCTCAGCTTGGTTTGGATACTCTTAAGGTGATGGTTTCCCGCAAGTGTCAGACACCCGGCTGATCCCCCAAAAATGAGGGACATAACAATACCTTATAAGGCAGTGTCAACTTAAATCATAATCAACACCAAATATGGGTGTCAAAGCCTTACCTGCTGACACAAGGTCATTCAATATGGCAGTGTCAACCTACATCATAATCAATACGCTAAGTCATTCAACAATGGCAGTCCCACTCAATAAAAAGGGAGCTCGTCAGGGCAAATGTTCATTAACAAATCTCAAATTGGTGTGATAGAGATCAACCAGGTGTCGAAGTCAAAACAAGCCATGACCAAATCAAGATGTCGATCCAGACGCATTCGCCCCCGCAAACGATGTGGCAGAAGGAAGATGAGGAAAACTAGGTTCCGGGGGGGAAAACAACTGAGGAGGATTAGTGGTAGACCCCGCCATGCAATCTACAGGAGGAGGACAAGGAAGATCATCATGCACCCAAAACGCTGTGCTAGACCTCGGGAGGACGTGGATACCAATTTGAAAGCAAAGAGGAACAGACGTCTTAACGAATCCTTCAAGCAGCATCAAATGCCCTCGAGGTTGGTTCTCTGAATGTCACATCGCTACGCGTAAGGATTAAGAGAATTAGTTGATATTGAATAAAAACAATTACTTGAGACTTGCGAAAAAAAAACATATTGTGCTTTGTCTCATTTTTTAAATTAAAAATACCAAACTCCGCAGTTTGTACAATCTAGCAATCGTAGGTGGCGAGGGAGATGCCGCAGGGGATAACCTGGGTGATTTAGGCAATGTGCTTGGCGGGTGACTCATGTGACTGATGGGTTTATCAACACTATAAGTGCAATGTAGCTCTGAACTAGAGCTCAGTTGGTGAAAGGCTGAATCTCTGGGATTTCAAGTTACAATTGCATTGCAAGGGCAGAAGAGCCGATTGTGAACACTTGTGAACTCTAAACTCTGCTCTGGTAAACCCTACAGAACTGTGAAAACTGCAAGCCCCAATCCCCCTCTCCCCAAAGCTTCCACACGCTTCACCCCCTGACCTTTAGGTTCTCGTTGTAGATTGGATCAGTCGTGTTGCGTTTGATGATGGTCTTGCGTTTCCCTTGCCGGGATCTATCAGGCAGGAGGTAGGTCTTCACATAGCTGCAGAGAACAAATGGGTGTTTAATTCACGGTGGAAGCAGTTTTGATTACAGTGACTTATAATAATATAATAATAATCCTTGCATTTGATAAAGTGCCACTCAGGTTGGTGACTCACTAAACGGGACATCACCGTGTACAAATTAGCTGCCACATTACGCCAACAAAGCCACACAGTCACTGCAATTTATACTACAACAACAACAATTTTGATTTATATAGCGCCCTCCACGCCGGATGGCACCTCAGAGTGCTTTTATCCTATATCCTGTGATGCGCTATGACAGATGCTCCTGGCTTGAAACGTGCTGTATCAAATGTAAGGATTACTAATAGGCATTCGAAGACGTATGCGACGGCTAATTTGCGCACAGTGATGTGCGTGAAGCCATTGCCTAATTTTGTATGGAGGATTGTTGTCCAGGACACCAGGCGTTCAAACCCTTCAAACTGAGCATCTACCACGCCACTGGTCAAGTCAAACATTTCCACGTTATCAAGGTCGGAGAAGTATTAGTAAAATACTATAGAAACACCTACTGCTCCAGACAGGCACAGACTCAAACACGCACCCACACTTACGGGTTTGATCTCTTCTTGGACTCATCCCCATAAGCCAGGTTGTGACACTCCTTCACATACACGTTAAGCATTTGCTTGTTTTGGTCATAGTTCATAGTGAAGACGATCTCCCCAGTGACAGCCACATTTCCATAGTCACCTGCCTCACTGTAGATGCTCATCATGCTGCCGATTGTACTCTGAAATACAAGTGAAATACATGAGACTGGAAATCAGATGGCCGTACTCGACACTCGATTCCCTTCGTGTTCCCCTCACACCCCCGCGGAATTCCAATCTCAGCTCCTGGTGAACGGAGGAAGCTGTACATCTCTTCCCCAACTAAAGAGGACAGTGAGGAGGAGACTCATTCACTGAACACCCTGACCTCACACCTACACAGGGCAGGCTTAGAGCAAAGAGAACAAAATAATCATTTTAAATGTCACAAGGACCTATTGTGCCATGCCTGACAACAACAACAACAACAAGAAATTGCATTTATATAGCACCATTCACATTGGGAAGACATCCCAAGGTGCTGGACAGTTAAGGGTTTGCAGCTGAGCTGAGGGTTGGATACAAGATGAGTGGAGGGCACGGGGGCGGTGGGGTGAAAAGATGACCAAAGGTGCGTTTGAAGAGGAAGGTATTGAGGTGGGACTTGAAGGAAGCAAGGGAGGGGGCGAGGCGAAGGGGTTCCTACACAGGGCAGGAGAACAACAGAACCATTTTAAATGTCACAAGAATATATATATATATATATATATATTGCCCATGCTGACGGACAGAGCTTCTGCATCATCTATGTGACATGATTGTACCAGGGCAATGTCATGTCTCTTATGTCACCAAACTGTTTGCAGCTTGGAGACTCATACAGCCCATATCTCTCCCTCAGGTGGGTGATCCCAACCTGGTTTTTCAATTGTGATTTAATTGGTGGAAGATTTAGATTGAATGTACTTTATCCCTTAATAAAGGTTAAAAGAAGTTGCGTTTCAAGCAAATTGCACCAATATATTTAAGAGAAAACATGATGCAGTGGAAAGGAATAGAGGGAGGTAGGACAAATGGGGGCTTGTGTGGAGTGTATTAGCCCCCACCCTGCCTGGCCCACCATTGGCGGTTGGGCCTCGAGCCTTCCCACGACTAATTCCCTTCCCCGAATTCCTCCACCTTGTCGCCCCCTCTCTCCTTCAAGGTCCGTCTCAAGACATTGACCATGCCTTTGGCCACCCTCCCTCCACATCCCCCTACCCTGGACCCCTCTTGATCCCATCGGGTGCAAACCCTGAACTATCCAGTGCCTTGGGATGCCTTCCCGACGTGAAAGCGTAATTTGTTGTTGTTACCAGACAGACTAGTTGGGCTGATTGGCTGGTTTCCGTGCTGAATCATTATATAACTGTCCAGGAAATAACATTCAGCATCCCGGTATCTCCTCCGAGTCACTTACAGCAGAACCCGCGCTCTTGAGGCTTTGACGGGCGTTAGCCAGCCGATGGATTGTCACCAGTTGATCAATGTCCTCTTCCTCCTCCTCGTCCTGTCAAGAGCAAGTGATTCAATATTAGATTACTGACCACCTCCGGACAGCAGGTAGCAATGTCACAACAAAGCTCTGCTGTATAAACCGAGTGCTCACAGCTGAGCAAGACCATGAGAGGGGTTAGGGGAAGGGGGCGCTCCACGTTCCATTCATAGGAATAAGAGGAGGCCATTCAGCCCCTCGAGCCTGTTCCGCCATTCTATTAGATCATGGTTGATCTGTACCTCAACTGCATTTACCCACCTTTGTTCCATATCCCTTGATACCCTGACTAAACAACAACAATACCACCAACAACAAAATTACAATTGTAATTTCACATCAGGAGGATGTCCCAAGGGGCTGGACAGACAGAGTTACAGACCTGAGCTGAGGGTGGGGGAGGGAGGTGGTCAAGAGGAGGGGAGCCGGGGAAGCAGGGAGATTGAAAGCATGGTCGAAGAGGAGGGTCTTGAGGTTGGTCTTGAAGGAGGCGGTGAGACGGAGGGACTGCGGGATGGAGTTCCGGAGGGTAGTGCAGAGTGGCGGAAGGCCCGCCCGCCGATAGTGGGGCGAACAAGGCAGGGCTCGTGAAGCAGGCCGGAGCCCGCTGAGCGGAGGGAGTGAACAAGCTGGTAGGGGGTTAGGAGTTTGGAAAGGTAGGGGAGAGCAAGACCATGGAGGGCTTTGAAGGTGAGGACCAGGATTCTGAACTGTATCCTCCTTATGATGGGAAGCCAGTGGAGTTGAGAGAGGATGGAGGTGATAGGGTCGCAGAGCCTAGTGCGAGAGAGGACAGACTGCAAAGTTCTGGATGATCTGCAGCCTATGGAGGCAGGAGTTGGGGAGGCCGACAAGCAGTGAGTTTGCATACCCGAGCCTTGATGTAATGAAGGGATGTATGAGGGTTTTGGCGGCCTGCGGTGTGAGACAGTGTCGGAGCCGGGCGACGTTGCAGAGGTGGGGGAAGGCAGAGCGGATCATGGCGCAGATGTGGGGTAGACAGGCTAGTTATGGGTCAAACAAGGTTCCGGACTGGCTTAGCAAGGTGGTCTATCTCAGAAAATTTCATTCTCTCTCCTTCACTGATCACTGGTGAATTTCTCTCCAGGTCTATATGACAAGATGAGGAACTAAATGTAAATTACTGGTATGAATCCATATTGCAGTGTTGTGAACGCTTGGGAGTTCTGACACACTGTGCAACTGAAGACCTTCCCGAAAGCCTCTTTTCACAGCTGCGGGAGGGAGAGCTTCCTTCACAGGTTAGCGGCTCAACTTGTATCAGGAGCAGAACCTAGTCTATGTTTCAGCACTGAGGTGCTGAATGTACATTTTGTATTCATTTTCAGCAGGGCCATTCCACTGACTCTCTCTCCTCACTCGGCTATAGTGTCACACATGCGGACTACCAGTAGAGGGTGCTGCAGAGGGACCTGGAGCAGGATTCCTGGTGGGATTTTTCCCTCTCTAACACTGGGAAGTCAGGGCCAGCGTAGCCTCCCTATGGAGCCCTGGCCGAGACCAGCAAACGCGGGCTGGACCAGAACTCAAACAGAGCCCTCTATCCCCTGCACCCCTGGGCCTGTGCCCATAGTCATTATTTTTGTCTGGTGAGAGAAGAGTGTTTGAAGAGTAGCAAAGTTTCTCACATCGACCTTCCTCATCCAACCTCAAAGACCACAAATAAATAACATAATTATAATAATCTTTCCATTTGATAAAGGTTGTTGTTGGTGCAAATTAGCCATTGCATTTAGCAAATCACTATCCTTGAAAGTAACTCACAGAGTGAAACACTTGAATCATTGACAGGGTTGAGGAACATTTGAAGGGTTACAGCTTCAAAGGAAGAAATGGCTTATTTTACCTTTAATATCCCAGGGAGTCTAAGACAAACTATTTTGAGTTAATCTAAATTTCATTACAGAAACACAGAGCAAACTTAGGTCTTTCTCCCTCTGAAATGGTTCCACTTCAGCTTTGTAGATATAGTCTAAGGTCCAGCCAAACCTGCTTCAGATCACCTCTCGTGACAATATGCAGCTACAATGGAAGGAAGCCTGAAGCTATCGAGGACTATCAGGGATCTGCAAGTACTTTGGTCAGAACAAGGTAAAGTAGGTGGAGAGAGACACTGACCTGTTCCACATTGAGGCCAGGTACTGACCGACTGCGGTCTCCCATTGAGCGACCATCGACGCCGGAATCTCCCGAGCGCAGATCCAGCACGGATTTACTGTAATCTAACAGTAAGCCGATGTTAAAAGGTTAAAGATTGGGGGGCCATTACGTGAATACCGACAAGACCCTCAAGGTTTAATGAACGTCAAACTCAAGTCACAGTGAGCTCAAGGCAACCAGATTCTAAACTCATCTGCGACTAGAGCCAGGACGAATGCTGCCTGCAGACCAGACCAATTTCTTCCCCACGTCTCTGACAAACGGCCTACACACCTACACCTATTGCTGTGCTGAGTTGACACTCAATCAGTTGTATGTGATCCTTCAGCACAAGGACATCTCAGGGTAAGTGCAGTGAGTTGAGGGTAGGAATTAGGAGCAGAAATTTCGCTACTTGAATTCCAACTAAACGATCAATACAGGAACAACATTGAGTTGCAATTATACAGCCTTTCACGTAGCACAAAATAATCATAGAAATAACAAAATAGCATAGATTTTATGTGATAAGTCAATAAATATTCAATCAACAAACACTGATCTTGTTGGGAAACCAAAGAGGTAATAAAAGAAAAACATCTGCGAGGAGAATGCAAAGCAAAGATATTGTAAATAATAACAATCCTTGCATTTGATACAGCTCCTTACCAGATCTTCGAGAAGTCTCAAAGCGCTTTGAGAATATACTGTAAAGTAAATTAACTGCATATTTTGTGGGCGAAACTTGGAGGCGAGTGCTCTATCCACTGAGCTACAGGACTCCATAAAGCACTGTGATTGTTAATCACTCTTTTTTGCCTCATCAATGAGACTTGGAGAGACAGACTTATACCATTTGAGCCAATTTCCCAGTTAGCAGTAACTCGGTGCTAGCTGGAAAATACAAGATATAAATAATTGGATTTAATGGTCACTTCACCAACAAGGTGCAGAATGATCAGGGACTGGCTTAGTGACGTTCTAAGTGTATTTAAGTCATCATTTTCCCCCGAGCCCCTGGTTTGAGGAAGCTCTGAGCTGGGGGCTCAGCTTGATGCAGTAATTTTTATAAATAGTTCTGAATATTTCCATCCGTTCATTCTTCTTTCTTATGTGCAATGCTCCAAGACATTATCTCACGTGAAGGGCACTTTATAAATGGAAGTCGTTAGGAACATTAGAATTGCTGGAATAAAAAAGACCATGGTTTAGTTTGTCTTCTACTGTCATGGTAGTCATATGCTACAATAATGGAGATGTTGATAGCCATTAATTCTGTGTGGATTAGTCTACAATAGACTAGGGTTTCTACGTGTATCAGACACCAAAACAATTTTTTCCCCAAAAGAATTTAATGAAATCTATCGTTCCCAAATCCACTCCGAGATTCTAAATCTCCTCCTAGTAAAATCCAAGGGAAACTGTAGGTCATTTGGCACATTGAGAACCATCTTTTTCCATATTCCTTCCCCAACATCCATCTCCCTCTGCGTCCATCAATCCTACAGGATGTCTACCAAGTCCTGTTACCCCTATGTTTTTTTTCCCCAACATTGCCCATTTCACTGACCAACAGCTGAAACATGTGGAAAAATGATGATAATTGTATTTAGAAGTACTGTACTTAATTATATTTAGTACAAGTGTTTGGGAACTTTAGATCCAAAGTTGCCTGGTTCTTCCAAGCACTTGCTACACTTATTGTTGTTGTTGTTGTTGTTGTTGTGGAGAGGCTTACCAGTGGGTTTCAGGATACTTTTTGCATTCTTTTTGAAGAGGTTTTCTGACCCACCTTCATCCACTGTAACCCGGCTATTGGAGCGAACATCCTGTGTGGGGCAAAAAGAGTTTGAAACATTTAAATAGACAGTTTTGTTATCCTCTTGACAAGTTGCACACTCTTTATCAAATACCTTCTGAAAATCCAGGACAATTGTACTCGTTGGGTAGTTCTGGTTCAATACTCCGGCTCCCTCCCGCCCAAGCAGGGCAAGTCTCTCTGGGAAAGAGAATGCGCACTCCTTCCTGAACCCTTCGGTACAGTCTGACCCCATTATAGTGCACCAGTTTGTATTGAAGAGCATTAGAACTGTATATGGAACCTCTCATTAATTTGGTTTGGAGACACGTAACTGTGGTTCGCATGTCAGAACAATTTAATGAAGCAAAATCTATCATTCCCCAAATCCACTTCGAGATTCTAAATGTCCTCCTAGTGGAATTTTAGAGACAGTGGAGGACTCATTAAAAAACACCAACTTTTTCCATATTCCTTCCCCAACATCCATCTCCCTCTGCATCCATCAATTCTACAGGGTGTCCACAAAGTCCTGCTACCTCCATGTTTTTCCCTATAGCGCACTGACAAACAACTGAAACACGTAGAAGAATGATGATAATTGTATTTAGAAGTACTTCATTGTATTCAGCACAAGTGTTTAACTGTATTTAGACATCCAGAGGATTGGTGTGAATGCAAAATGCATCTCTGACAGCTTGTTTCAGCTCCTCCATTTGTACCAGGGGAGAAAAAGGACATTGTGGACACCCTGTACATTGTCACAAGCCTTTTGTGCAAAAGACACAGGGTTGACATTTATTATAATAATAACCCTTACATTTGATATAGTGCCTTATCACGTGTTCCAGGCATCTCAAAGCGCTTCACAGAATATACTGTAAAGTGAATTGACTATGTTTTGTGGGCGAAACGTGGCAGCCAATTACGCAAAACAGTGTCCCACAAACAGTCATGGATTGAGTGACCAAATAACTGTTTATTTTTAAAGGGATTATCATCCCCAGAAAAGCAATCTGCCAATTGGTTGACACCTAGGTTCCTACGTACTGCTAGGTAAACAGAGGCGTGTGGAGTAAGGAAACTTGGCCAGTGTCTCGCCCTGCTGGGAATCGAACCCAGCTCCTTTCGGTTGCGAGGCGAGTGCTTTAACCACTGAGCTACAGGACTCCGCCAGTTTCACCAGTTTAGCTTGAATTGATGACACTCCCAAGCACCCTGCATGAGGGGAGCTAATTAAATGCAAGTTGTTGTTGATGACATGTCCTCCTGCCTCCTTTACCTCGTACACACCCAAGTGTGTATGAGGAACGTTGACAGTATTCCTTATAACACTTGTTTTCCCTGTTGCTGACATGACCCTGGCTGACCTAGTTTCCAGGTTTGACTTCCAGTCCTTTGTTTGGACACTGGAATAACATTTGGTACCCTTATCTTCAGACTACTTTCCTGTTTGTGCAACTTCTAAAATCTCCCCATTTCCTCTCCTATAAATCTCCTTATTACTCATTTCATTTTCTCGAAGGTTCGAAAATATATTAACCAACAAACTCATGTGAGACAGTGTCAAGATCAACCGTATCATGTGAAGCATTTTGGGACGTCCTTTTTCTATTTCAAGATCCTCTCATTTGTCCACAAATCCCTTCATGTTCTGGCACCTCCTTACCTCTCCGACCTGCTGACCCCCCAACCTACTATCCACTGCCTCCTTTCGACTGGCTCCAACGTCCTGCTTGTTCTTTGTGCCATCATCGGTGGTCACCCTTTCAGCCACAACACCCCAAAACACTGGAACACTCTATCCCTCCGCCTTGCCCTTTCCTTCCCCATCTACAGGTCGCACCTGAAGACCTTCCTATTTGACCGTGCCTACAGTCGCCTCCCCCCCGGCTCAGCATCGTGCTCCACCACTGTCAAGCGTTCTGGGACGCTACCCTGTGTGAGGGGCGCTATATAAATGCAAGTTGTTGTTGTTGTTGGCATCCTCCCAACGTGAAATATATATAAAATATATGAAATATACATGAAATGCAAAGACTATTATTATTATTATTATCCTGACATGTATCAGACTGCTGGATGCCATGAGTGATTGCCGTACAATATCCGTGTCCTGGTCAGACTGCACGATGCTCTCTCTGGATCTGTGTGACCTGTATATGGCCGGGAGGGTCATGCTGCCTGAGGGCTGGGATTTGGAACTGAGGCGGTCACTCTTGTAGTCGGTTACAGAATTCTGTCTGAAAACACACAAACAAGAGACATGGTCAAGACAGGAAATGGTCATTGGCCTACTACCTCCTGCCTGACTAAATCACTATTATTTGAATCAATTTTACTTTCCTCCGTATCCCTTCGAGTTTCTGTTACCGCCCGGGTGTTTATCTGAATGATCTGTATGGAGCAAAGAAATCCAACTTTACAAAATGAAACGTAGCAGTCGATTTTGCAGAATAATCCGATGCAACGTTAAACTGAGGACCCGTCTGCCTGTTCAGGTTAAAGATCCCACGGCGCTAGTCGAAAGGATAAGCGAGTTTCTCTGTCCCGGTGTCCCAGCCAACAATCACCAAATAATATTGGTTGCTCACTCCATGGCTATTTGTGAGGATTGGTCTGTGCCGCATTTCACCCACAAAACACACAAGTCACTACACTATATAGTGAAGCGTTTGAGGTATCCTCCCGACACGAAAGATGCAATATACCTCGCAATTTAAGGAGTAGCATATTATTTACAAATGTAAAATAATTACATTATTATAATTATATAATTATTGATATTAATGAATATTCTCTCCTTAGACTGGAATTATTTATCAATAATAAGTTAACAATTACAGTATTATTATTAATAATGATAAATAATACACTCCTCCACATTTTAAAGCTGTTTCTGAAGCGCAACTCAAATCAAGGAGAGTAACATGCTGAGCACTTATGTACACTGTACTCTCTATGGTCACAGACTCAGGCGGAGGACAGATCAGGTACAGGCTGGTCATATTTATCCACTGGGTGGACCCTGCCCGCCCAAACACTCACAGCCAAGAGCACGGCCCACCTATTGGATAAATATTGTACCAGTAGGTGTGTGGTGTCACCTCAATTTATACTAATACACGTCTCTTAGAATTTACAGCACAGAAGGAGATAATTCGGCCCATCGTGCCTTTGCCAGCTCTTTCAAGAAGCTATCCAACTATCCGCCGTCCCTCGCTCTTACCCCATAGCCCCACAAATGTTTCTTTTTACTACAGCCCAATTGGTTGGTCCCTGCTAGTATTTTATACACCACCTGAGCTGCCAGCTTCACTATACTCTATTATAGTTCTTTCCCATTCCTTTGCTGAGATCAGAACATATCAGGTATTGCACCTGGTTCCTTCTCAGTCTGTGTTTGGCTCAGTGGCTCACTGCATAAACTGATTGAGTCATAGAGACAGAAGCTAATTAAGCTGTTATACTATCACTTGAGTTGATCTGGAAATATGTTCTCCATCAACAATACATATCTCTGTTTCTAAACAAACATAAACCATATATCATTGTATTTATTTAAATTAAGCTGTCACGCCACTCTTATAGTAATGTTCATTGCCATGTAAAAGAGAGAAATTCCGTATCGAGTCCTGATCTGCTCGGTTCACACTGATGTGCTCACATTTTAATGTTTAATTTTAGGCGTGAACCAAAGCCTGATGGGCAACTCTAAATAGCAGCGGAAATTGCATTGGCAGCAGACTGTAGGATCACACTCCGAGGCAGATAAATAAAGCGGATTAAAGGATAATAAGCCCTCGAGAAATAAAATTAAAAAATTAAATAATTATTTACTCAATCAATCAATCAATCCACGATTGATTGTGGGACACTGCTGAGTGCAATTGGCTGCCGCGTTTTACCCAGAAATAGTCAATTTGCTTTACAGTATATTCTGTGAAGCCCTTTGAGACGTCTAGAATGATATGGAAAGCGCTATATCAAATGCAAGGATTATTATTATAATTTTCATAATCTATCCAATTCCCTTTTGAAAGCTACTGTTGAATCTGCTTCCACCACCCTTTCAGGTAGTGAGTTCCAGACTGTTAACAACTCCCTGTGTGTAAAAAAAACTTTCACCTCGTCTCTCCTCTGGTTCTTTTGACAATTATCTTTAATAATTGATATGAGCTGAGTTGTCTCCTGCGACAACTCAACTTGTTCCTCCACTGCAGTGACTGACTGTAAGGAAGACTCTTTGGCAGGAATCAGTGTTTGCACTTCAGTGTGAGTCACCACACTTCACATTCCACCCTGAAACGGCATTGCTCACAGCTTCCATCTCAGTACAAACACTAACCCTGAACAAATATTAGTCATCGGCTGAATGGGATCAGTAACGTCACTCTGTGTGAGCCAGCCCTTCCTCACCAGACTCTCTAGTACACATCGGGAATATAGCCCCAGTTGATATCATTCATCCAACTGTTCAAACCAAAGCTATAGAATCCAACGCAATGTAAAATCTGACCCCACCTACAGCAAATAGTAATAATAATAATCCTTGCATTTGATACATGTGCTGTATGGATGTGCTGTGAAGGAAGAATAACCTCGCATCAGATAGAAATGGGAGAAATTCCTAAGCCTAAACACTTAATTAAACTACAGGGGTGCTGGGTGAGTGGGGGCGGGGTGGGGAGGGGTGGGGGGAGGCTACAAATGAGACTGAAATGATTGCTCTTTAAACGAGCCAGCACAAACACACAATATGTCGAATGGTATCCTTCATTTTTTAGTGTGTCAGTCTGGCTCACTTAGTAGTGCTCTCGCCTCTGAGTCAGAAGATTGTGGGTTCAGGTGGACTTTAATGATCCCACGGCACTATTCGAAACAAGAAGGGAGTTTCTCTCTCCTGGTGTCCTGGCCAACAATCCCCCAAATAAAATTGATCACTTACTTCGTAACAGTTTGTGGGACGTTGCTTTGTGCAAATCGGCTGCAGTGTTCACCCACGGAACAAAGCGTAACCCAGTGAACATTATATCCTGTGAATTGCTTTGAGACAGATTTTCCTGACATGAACAATGCTTTACCAAACATAGGAATGATGAGTAATTTACAGCAAGAAACTCTGCGACATTTCAACATTTTAGACACTTGGAAAACACAACTCGATTTCTTAATTTTCTGTGAAATGCTTTGCTTTCGGACATCCTCCCGACGTTAAAGGCTCTGGGCCGAACGCAAGGTTGATTATTTTTATCCGTCTGATGATTTTGACGCACAATCGAGGACAGTTAAATCCGCCGTTGACTCTGCGGATGTGTGTCGGCAGCCATTAATCCCTTCCTCACCTGGAGCTGTTGGGTGTGCTGCGTTTAGACTCCGTCTTGTAGCTGTTGAGGCTCATGCGTTCAGTGGACTCAGTGTCACTCATCTGTCCTGCGGATTCTTGTGTTTCAGACAGAGTGCTACAACACACGGGTGGTGGGGTGGGGTGGGGGGGGAGATATCAGATATAAATATTTCAGACTCACAATCAGTGTGCAGACTGAGACTTCCACGCATCCCACCTACACATGGAAATCCCAGAGATAGATTGGAACGGAATGCACACTCTCGCTCCTTGGATGGACACATCCTGCTTACCTAATTCCGGAGAGTATTCAGCACAGGTTGGCAAGAGCCAAGGCTCTCGGGGACCCCAGAGTGTGCGTTGGGGTAACTGCTGGAGTCCAACCAGCTAATCCCGCACAGCTTGCCTTTGAGAGCGCTCTCTACTATGAACCCGATCTACCTTTTTTTTTCCCGCTTGCAATCAGGAAAATTGCCATCAGCCGAACCTTTATCTGATGGCCAATGTCACGATATTTCACAGGCCGCCCGTGCCTGCTGCGCACTGCCGTAGCGAGCAGTGCAAGTGGAGCTGGGCACTGGGGGGAGCTGGGAGGAGGCTTTGCCGTGTGACTGCGCTCACCTGAGGACTCTCCCGCCATCTCCAGGCGGCTTCTGTCTCGCCTTCGCTGCATTGCTGACTTTGGCCTCGTTGGCCAGGGCTTTCTGTAGCAGCGTCTGACCCGCTGTGTCTCGCTTATTTACTGTAAACCACAGAGAGCAATAACAAAGCTTCTAATGGCGTTTGAAACAACAACAAATTGAAGCTTCAATAATAATAATCCTTGCATTTGATATAGCGCCTTAATCACATCTTCAAGACGTCTCAAACCGCTTCACAGGACATACCGTAAAGTGGATTGACTGTATTTTGTGGGTGAAATGCGGCAGCCAATTGCACACAGCAGCGTCCCACAAACAGTTGTGGATTGAGTAAGCAAATTATCATCATTATTTCTTTTATTGATGGGATTATTACCCTCGGAAAGTGATGCGCCAATCGATTAACAATCGGGTTCCTGCGAGGTAAACGGGCGTGTGGAGTAAGGAAACTTGCCTAAGGTTTCGCCCTGCCCGAGAATTGAACCCGGGTTCACTTGCTTGCAAGGTGAGTGTTCTAGCCATTACACTACAGGACTCCTTTCATGTCAGGAGGCGTCCCAAGGCGCCAGACAGTGGGGATTGGCATCAAGAGATGAATATTGTAACTATTTGGGGTTTAAGAGGGCAGTAAACAGGTAGAGGTAGAAAGTTAGAGGCTTGAAGGGGGTTAAGGCAGGGCAGTGGGAAAGCTCTAAGAGACTCGATGGGCTGAATGGCCTCCTTCTACACTGTATATTTCTGATTCCACTCAAACCCCCTCCTCCCCCGGGTGGGCTCACACTCGGCCTCTTTCACAGATCAGAGAACGGGCTTGATACTGGGTACAGAGTAGAAACATGATGCACTACTCATGACTTTAATCTCTGTCTCGGTGATGGTAAGAGTTGATAGATAACCCCATGAATACGCAACTCTTTATAAACACACTCTGCTACTTACAGCCGTGTTTCCTCTTCAGTGACGCTCGGATAATATCGCTGCCAAAATCATTGGCGTAACGGCTTGCTCGGCACTCGAAGAACCAGTCTCCAGTCTTTTTCTTTAGCTTTCTAGAGGGAGCAATAGTCTGTTACTGACCAACAAAATCCACTTTCCGGTGTTCTCACAGTAATAATGATAATAATAATCCTTGCATTTGATACAGCGCCTTATCACATCATCAAGATGTCTTGAAGCGCTTCATCAAATCTACTGTTAAGTGGAGTGACTGTGTATTTTTGAGGGCAATAATCAATTGCATACAACAACAACTTGTATTCATATAGCGCCCTCCACGCAGGGTAGAGTCCTGGAGCGCTTGACACTGGCAGCGCACGATGCTGAGCCAGAGGGATGGTCGAAGAGGGAAATTTGTAGGTGCAATCTGAAGACGGGGAGAGGTGTTTGAGGTGGAGGAATTGGGGGAGAGTGTTCCAGAATTTTGGGCCAGTGATGGTGGATTGGAGGGCACGAGGGACAAGCTGGAGGCCGGAGGCGGCAGAGCAGAGGCAATGGGTAGAGGGTTGGAGAATAAGTGGGTCAGAGAGACAGGGAGATGCCAAGGGATTTGAATAGGAGTGTGTACAAGTCTCTCACCCCTCCTTGACACACACGGTGCACTTCCAGCGACCCCCCTCCTCGAGGACCCTGCAGGCCTTACACACCAGGTGGTTACACTGGCGGCAGGCGTTGCCGCTCTTCATGATGCGACCGAGTGTCTCCTGGCATCGTGCGCATGTCTTGTCGCTGTAGTCCTGGCTCCCACGCTTCGCTCCCTTGCGACGAATTTCCAGTAGCTCATTTTTCAACCTCCTGAAATAAATCAATAAACAGATGATTAAGAATAATCCTGGCATTTGATACAGCGCCTCATCACGTCGCTCAACAACAAGATTGCATTTGTATAACGCCTTTCATGTTGGGAGGATTCCCAAAGTGCTGGACAGACAGAGTTCCGGACCCAAGCTGGGGGATGGTATAGGGGAGGGGGGGATGGGGCAAGCAGGAAGATTGAAAGCACGGTTGAAGAGGAGGGGCTTGAGATGGGTCTTGAAGGTGGCAATGGAGGGGGCGAGGCGGAGGGACTGCAGGATGGAGCTCCAGAGGGTGGAGGCAGAGTGGCAGAAGGCCCGTCCGCCTAGCGACGTATGACGAGCGAGGGAGGACGTGAAGCAGGCTGGAGCCCGCTGAGCGTAGGGAGAGGGCAAGATGGTAGGGGGTTAGGAGGTCGCAGAGGTAGGGGGGAGCAAGGCCATGGAGGGCTTTGAAGGTGAGAACCAGGATCTTGAACTGTATCCTCTGTGTGATGGGAAACCAGTGGAGTCGGGCGAGGATGGGGGTGAGAGGGTCGCGGAGCCGAGAGGACACGGGCTGCAGAGTTCTGGATGATCTGCAGCCTATGGAGGGAGGAGTTGTGGAGGCCAACAAGCAATGAGTTTGCATGGTTGAACCTTGATGTAATGAAGGCGTGTATGAGAGTTTCAGCGGCCTGCGGTGTGAGACAGTGCAAGAGCCGGGCGATGTTGCGGAGGTGGGAAGAAAGGGCGGGTCATGGTACAGTTGTGGGGTAGAAAGGATAGTTGAGGGTCAAAGAAGACCCCAAGCTTCCGGACTGGCTTAGTGAGGTGGAGTGTGCAACCATGGATGGTGATGCTGTCAGCACCTGAGGTGTGGAGGCACTGACGGGAGCCAATCAGGAGAGCCTCGATCTTGTTGACGTTCAACTGAAGAAAGTTTGCTCTCATCCAGGACTTGATGTATGACAGGACAGCAGTGGTCCTGGAGTCAAAGGTCGAGGCAGAGAAGTAGAGTTGGGTGTCATCCACATACATGTTGAAGTTGACCCCATGTCTGCGGATGATGTCACCAAGAGGGAGCATATTGAAGAGGAGGGGATCAAGGACAGAGACCTGAGGAATGCCGCACGAAGTACTATCTGAGCCTATCAAGGACAGAGCTGTGAAGGAAAGGCGGTGGATGAGGATAAAGTGGTCGACAGCGTCGAAAGCAGCAGAGAGGTCAATGAGGACGAGGAGGCAGAGGGAGCCCCTGGTCGCAGATGGACAGAATGTCATTTGTCACTTTGACCAGAGCTGTTTCTGTGCTGTGGGCGGCACAGAAACCCAATTGGAAGGGTTCGAGAAGGGAATGGCAGGAAAGGAAGGAGCGAAGCTCAGACATCTCAAAGCGCTTCACCGGATATACAGTAAAGTGGAATGACTCTTTACCTGATGCGCTTTTCCTCGACTTTCCGCAGTTCCTCGTCCCGGAAGAGAACGGACAAAATCTCTTCCTTCTCTTTTTCAGTCAAGAACGACAAGTTCACCATCTCTTTCGCCATGGCTCTGCGATCTATGAGCGCACAGCCCGCGCCCCTCTCACACAGCCCCTCTCACAAAGCCCACCCCCTCACACCGCTTCTCTCTCACACGCCGGGGCTCGGGGATATCAGACAGAGCTCTGAAAAAGGGAATCAGGCGGTCAGCTACCAGCACTCAATAACAGGAAGAAAACATGTTTATCATAATAATAATCCTTCCATTTCATGTATTGTCCCACCATCGACGGTCGGGCCTTCAGCCTCTCTGCCCCCACCACTGGAACTCCATCCCACATTCCCTACGCCTCACTCCCTCCCTTGCCTCCTTGAAGGTGCATCTCAAGACCCTCTTCTTTGACCGTGCCTTCGGCTATCCTCCTTCCCTCTCTGCCCTCCACACCCCCTGATCCCAACGCCCTGCACCCGCACTGCTCGGGTCCTGATCCCTGGCTGTCCAGTGCCTTGGGATGTCCTCCCGATGCAAAATTTTGTATTGTATCATGTGGTTGAGACGTCTCAAAGCGATTCACAACACATAATGTGAAGTGAAGTGAATTTTGTGGGTGGAACGCAGCAACTAATTATGCACAACAGGATCCCACAAACAGCCGTGGAGTGAGTGACCAAATTATTAGTGTTTTGGAGGGAATATTACCATCAGAGAACGATCCGGCAATCGACTAACAACCGTGTTCCTACTCACTGCTTGGTCGACAGAGACGCGTGGAGTAAGGAAGCTTGCCTAAGGTTTCACCCCGCCCGGGAATCAAACCTGGGTTTGCTCGCTTGTTAGGTGAGAGCGCTAACCAATACTTTACGGACTCCCCAACTTTATTGAAAGGAAGAATGTAAAACTGTATACAGTGAAGAATTTGGTAAACGTCTCACTTCACTCACTAACCACTCAGTGATTGTGGCTATCTGGTCTCCGAGTTGATGATTTTAGCTCCCAGGACTGAACATATTCGAGCAGCCTTGCATCGCGTTGACATCCATCCATTGGGTGAGCTCCATTCACTCGTCACCAGGCCGGATGTAACCCATTAGACACTTCACCACCGGAGATACTGGAAGGAAACAAATAGAGGTACTATAATTGAGCCAGCTATTCCATTCTAGCTGCTTAAACTCCAGGCGTTCCCCAACACGCACTCTGGGTTCTTGCAAACCTGAGCTTAATAATAATATTAATCCTTGCAATTAATATAGCGCCTGATCATGACTTTGAAATGTCTCAAAGCACTTCATACTGTTGAGTAAATTGACTGCATATTTTGTAACTAGGCAGCCAATTGTGCACAGCAATGTCCCACAACAGTTGTGGATTGAGTGACCAAATTATTATTATTATTATTCTTTTGAAGGGATTATTACCCTCAGAAAGAGATCCACCAATCGACTAACAACCAGATTCCATATACTGTAAATTGGAGTCACTGTGTATTTTGTGGGTGAAACACGACAGCCAGTTGTGCACAGTAGTGTCCCACAAACAACCGTGGAATGAGTGACCAATTTTATTTGAGGTGATTGTTGGCCAGGACACCAGGAGAGAGAAACTCCTTTCCCTTTTCAAATAGTGCCACGGGATCTTTAACGTCCACCTGAACAGGCAGACGGGACGTCAGTTTAACGTCTCAGCCGAATGATAATGTCTCTGGTATTGTAATAGTCACTGAAGCAGGGAGCATCCCTCTGGGCAGGGAGCATGCATTCCATTCCAGCACAGGAATTTGTATGTGAATGTGGCGTACATTGACCTCTTAGTCTGCTTTGCATACTACTTACCATCGGTGGTGATGGGGAAACAGGATGTGCAATCTATCACTGGAATTCTATGTGGGAGGAATGGAAATATTAGCTTGGTTTGGATACTCTTTAAGCACGGTGATGGGTTACCATGTGGGTCAGACACCCAGCTGTCCCCCAAAAATAGATGGAACTGACTTGGAGAGGAGGAAGGAGCTTTGCATGAAGGAGAACATTCAGAATCATTTGCAGGAAGTTACATTCCCCATCTAATTTGCATCTTGCGACGTCCTCCTGACATGAAAGGCGCTATACAAATGTAATTGTGTATTGTATCACTGTTTGCAAAAACGTAGGCATGTAATAATCTGCCCAAACAAAATTATTGCTCAATCACTCAATCCACAACTGTTTGTGGGACACTGCTGTGCACAATTGGCTGCCACATTTCACCCACAAAATACACGGTCAATCCATTTTACAGTATATCCTGAGAAGTGCTTTGAGGTGTCTCAATGACGTGATAAGGTGCTATATCAAGTGCAAGGATTATTTATTATTAGCAGCTGATTGCTGGTCTGTACGAGTACTTTAAAGATCTCTCTGGTACATGGTGCGAGTGAGTCGTTGGCCCAAGAACATAGATCACAGTATAATACAATTTATATGACACCTTTGGAGTCCTGTAACACTGTAAGTGTAAGCGGTCAGCGCACTCGCCTCGCAAGCGAGGGGACACAGGCTCGATTCCCAGGCGGGGCGAAACCTTAGGCAAGTTTCCTCACTCCACAACCTCTGTTTACCTAACAGTAAGTAGGAACCCAGTTGTTAGCCGATTGGTGGATCACTTTCCAGGGTTAATAACCCTTCAAAAATAAATCAATAAATAATAATTTGGTCACTCAATCCACGACTGTTTGTGGGACACGACTGTGCAGAATCGGTTGCTTCGTTTCACCCACAAAATACACAGTGACTCCACTTTACAGTCAATTCATTTTACAATACATTCTGTGAAGCGCTTTGAGACATTTCAACGACATGATAAGGCGCTGTATCAATTGCAAGGATTATTATTACATTTATATGGCGCCTTTCAGGTTGGGTGGATGTTCCCAAAGCGCCTTTCACGATTCTGGATAAGCACCTGATCTGTCACAATGCAGAAATATGCAACAGTTACTCTCCAACACGCATGCCACATGCAAATTATTATTATTATTATTTTGAAGGGATTATTACCCTCAGAAAGAGATCTGCCAATCGACTAACAAAATCGATCCAAAACTGGCACAATTTAGCAAACTTCCCTGGACACCGTCAAATCAAACACACAGCCCCTCACTAGAGGTCAGGGAACAATGCGAGAGACAGTGTCAGACATTGAGACTGTGACGTGCTTTGAGACATTTTTCTTTATTTTTCATATAGCAAATGCCGTTCATAAAGGATAATGGCTCAAACTGCTTCATATCAATCTCACCGCTCAGTGGGCTCCGGCCTACTCCTCGTCCCCCACCTGGTCCACTCCACCATCGGCGGTCAGGCCTTCAACCTCTCTGCCCCCAACCTTTGGAACTCCATCCCAAAGTCCTTTCGCCTCGCTTCCTCCCTTGCCTCCTTCAAGGCTCATATCAAGACCCTCCTCTTCGACCGTGCCTTGGTCACACGCCTACCCCTAATCTCCTTGCCCTCTACCCTCCTGATCCCAAACCCCAGTTCGGGTCCAAATCCCTGACTGTCCAGTGCCTTGGGACATCCTCCTGACGTGAAAGGCGCTGTGTAAATGGAATTTATTATTGTTGCTTCACAGAGATATTGTCAGACACTGAGCAAAGGAAGACAGAGACGTGATTAAGCTGTAGCTAGAATGTGGATATTCTGGTTAAACAGAATAACATAACATGTAGGAGCAGGAGTAGACCATTCGGCCCTTCGAGCCTGTCCCGCCATTCAATCATGGCTGATCTTGTAATCTAACTCCAGCTAATACCATAACCCTGCCTTATCCCCATATCCCTTAATCCCTTTTGCAATAAGAAATATACTTCCCTACATTATACTTCATCTGCCACCTACCTGCCCAATCACCTAATCTATCTATGTCGCGCTGTAATTTTTTAATGTCATCCTGAGTTGACACTTCCTCCTAGTTTTGTGTCATAAATGACAGGTAAACTAGACCAAACATGACAGGAATCCAAGAGGAAGCTTATCAGATTCATCAGTGATTTCCATGAAGCATATTTTACTTTCGATAACTTTTCTACAGTCCGGTGATGATAGTAATAAACTTTACATATGATCTATACCCCTCTCACGTGAGGAGGAATTTCGGGATTAACTCCTTTCTCTTTTCCGCTAGTGCCACGGAATCTTTAACTTTCACCCAAACAGGTAGAGCTCAGCTTGGTAATTATGAGTGGTTATATCTAGGAGTAGGGATGAAGCTGTGAGGGCATATTTTAATTTTATTTTAAGAAGTTAAGTAAAGTTAGTATAAGATGGCCGAAAGTTTGAATACAGACACACTGAACCTTCATCAACGTGGAAATACGGTAAGGTCAATTGCAACATGTATGTTATCTGTTTAACAGTAAGCAGGTATGTGGATAACTTTGGCTGTTAACTAAGAGATGAGCCAAGTGCCAAATGAAAATGTAACTGGTTCTCAGATACTATCAGAGAATGATTCTTCTGCTTCACAGAATATACCGTAAAGTCAATTCACTGTATATTTTTGTGGACGAAATGCGGCAGCCAATTGCGAACAGGAGTGTCCCACAAACAGTCGTGGATTGAATGACCAAATTATTTTTATTGAAGGAATTATTAACACCAGAAAAGCAACGTGGACAACCGGGTTCCTACTTACTGCTAGGTAAACAGAGGCGTGTGGAATAAGGAAACTTGCCCAACATTTTGTCCTGCCAGGAAACAAACTCAGGTCCTCTTGCTTGCGAGGTGAGTGCTCTAACCACTAAGCTACAGAATTCCACTATTATATAAATAACACACACACCGAGCCAATACATGCCGAGTCAAAATACACACCACACAACAGATGGCAAATCAAGTGAACCACAGTATGCATACAATAATACGTTCAATTCAATAGAATTGGGTGGCGTTCAATTCCACAGAATTGTGCTCCACCCAAGTGATGGTTATCTTCATTGACAATTTAGGTTGAATTAACGCACAGACACAGAAGCTGGCGCAGAGTGTAGTGTATCTGTGGAATAGGGTTACCCAGGGACCAGCAGAAACAGACTGCGCCAGCACATTCAACAAACTGAACACAAAATTACCTGAAAGTAAAGGAACAATTTCTGCAGAAGTTTGACTTTAAAAAAAGGTCCCAACTGGAGCCAAGTCTAGTGCATAACTAGGAAGAAAAATATTCATCACAAATGAATTCTTTGTTAAACTCATCCACAGTGTGTGCGTGTTTTGTGTGTGCATGTCAGAGTGTTTGTGTGCTTTTCAGAGTGTTTGTGTACATGTTACGTGTTTGTGTGTGTGTATATATATATATATGAATGTGTTTGTGTGCGTATCAGACAGTTATGCATGATATATATGTATATATGAAAGCATGTGAGTATGTGTGTACGTGTATGAGAGAGAGTGTGTGAGACTATGAGAGAGGGAGAGAATGTGTGAGACTATGAGAGAGAGAGAGTATGAGAATATGACAGATGCTCAGGTAACACAGCCAACTGCAGGACTATGCAGTATATCGAGCAAAAGGCTGCCTCTGGTGAGGAGTGGGGAAGGGAAACAGGAGATGAGGACTCTGTGGAGAGTTCAAAGTCTTCCAGAAGGAGGAATCATAGAACCCTACAGCAAAAAAGGAGGCCATTCGGCCCATTGTGCCTGTGCTGGCTCTTTGAAAGAGCTGCTAACTAGTCTTGCACCTCTGCTCCTTTCCCAGAGCCCAGCATTTTTTGTTCTTTTGAAATACCTATCCAATTCCCTTTTGAAAGTTATTATTGAATCGGCTTCCACCAGCCTTTCAGGGAGAGCGTTCCAGATTGTAACAACTTGCTGCATAAAAAAAATTCTCATCTCCCCTTTGGTTCTTTTGCCAGTTATCTTAAATAATATCCTGGATACTTGCATCCCATTTGAGATGTAACATCACTTGCTTTCCACTGTGAAAGCGCTATTGGCTTGAACTCAGTGTATAAAATCTGGGAGCCAGACCATCTTATTATTGGTGTCTCTACTTGGCAGTCAGTCAAAATCAACACACTGTTCTTTCTTTCCTTTAGGCAAGAGTTCAGCTTAAAACTATTCCAACAATGATTGAGAT